GGCACAGTGCTGGTGGTATAAGAGAAGCAAATAGCCCCGTGAACACTGTACAGTTAGCCCAGTGGTAAAGGAAGCCTGGATTCCAGAAACAGAATGGTACCTCTACTCACCAGTTCTATCAACATCTCCATCTTTGCCCTACTGAATTAAAAATACTGTCTCGAATTATGTCTGTCAGTTACACCGGAGGGCTTTAGTTGGCTGGCCTGGGTGTTGGTGTTGGTATGCTCTACTAGAAACTGATCCACCAAACATCTTGGCTGCATAGAATAATGGAGAAAGTACTGTGGGCTTGGAGGGAGCCAAGCCCATGGATGAAAGGGTTAAATGTAGAGTCCGAGGAGGAGGCCAGTACCTAGCCCAGGCAGGAGAGCCGTTTCCCTTATCTCCCCTGGGTGGGGGGGGGGGGTGGCGGGCAGAGACAGAGCTGTATGAGGCCCCTATCTATGGGTCTACGAGACAAAGACGTTAGTCTGCAGACTTGGGCCCAAAATGCGTGACACGTGAGGCTGCAAACACATTATATTGCCCCTGGTGCCATTTACCTTCCCTGAGCCACTGTGCCTCCAGGCCTTCCAGAATAGAAACGTAGCAGCACAGCAATATGGCTAAAAATAGGAGAGAGTGAGCAGGGCAGCCTGTTCTTACGGTAGGAGAAAAGAATGTCAAAGGAAGCAGCTGGGACTAATGAACTCCGCATTAGCCATATTCCATTCTTTCAACTCAAGTCAAATGTCGGTCCCCATTAGGCAATTGGCTTTGACAGGAGCTGTGCTAATTACCACTTACCAACCTTTAATTTCTGGGGAAAAGCAAAAGGAAAAAAAACTAATGGGTTTTTCATTTTCCAGAGAGAAAGGGATAAAATAATAGTAGTCTGGGAAAAGAAAACCTGCATTAATTACAAAAATGATTAATGTGACTTTTCTAACCAGATTGCTTAGCTGTTTTATTTCTTAGCCATCCACTCAATTTTTTCTTTTGGCCTTCAGGGTTTTTTCTCCATTCTATTTTATTTGTAACATTTTGCCTTTAATTATCTTGCTGTGTCTTGTATTACCTGAAGTGTTTAAGGACTTTGTAAGTGATGTGTTCTGAACACCCAGCCACTGCCTGAGTCCTCTGACAGTGGGGTCCTCCGTCCTGCTGGAAGGCCTCCAACGAGGGAGATAGACTCGTTCCCAGGAAATGCATTGAATTTTCAGATTGCAGAACCTCAGAGTTCACGGTTTGCTCAAACTACATCAGAACACACTTTGCAGGGGCGCCCGGCTGGCTCCTTTGGTAGAGAACATGGGACTCTGGATCTCAGGGTTGTGAGTTCAACCCCTGTGCTGGGTGTAGGGATTACCTGAAAATGAAATCTTTTTTAAAAAAAACACACTTGGCAATTACAAGGAAGTGAACCAACAGCTTAATGAATAGATACTGGATTTTCCTCAATATTTCCCAATACCATGTTCCAAGAACTATCACTAAAAATCTAGCTTTTCGGGGCGCCTGGGTGGCTCAGTCGTTAAGCGTCTGCCTTCGGCTCAGGTCATGGTCCCAGGGTCCTGGGATCGAGCCCCGCATCGGGCTCCCTGCTCAGTGGGAAGCCTGCTTCTCCCTCTCCCACTCCCCCTGCTTGTATTTCCTCTCTCGCTGTGTCTCTCTCTGTCAAATAAATAAATAAAATCTTTAAAAAAATAAAAATAAAATAAATAAAATAAAAATCTAGCTTTTCCCCAGTTATAATTATTTTAATAAGACAAGCACCTACATTTTTGAACACTTAACTAATTATAAGTGGAAAAGATAAATTAGCGTTACTTTTATTAGGGTTATGACAAGCTAGAAATAGTGGGTAGCCCAGCTGCCCTTTGCCTTTTCCTTTCTCGTCTAAACACCAAAAATTTCCTTCTTTTTAATACCTACCTGAGTCTTCCTCGTCTGATTTGTTCAAAACGGAACCTAGGGGCTCCTGGATGCCTCAGTTGGAAGAGCATGTGACTCTTGATCTCAAGAGTTGGAGTCCCACATTGGGTGTAGAGATTATTTAAATAAACTTTTAAAAAATGGAATCCATAGCTCTACTGAGGAAGCTGCTACTAAGATGTGGGTGATCCCTTCAGCAGGTGCTGTTAAATCAAGGTCTTTAAGTGTCTCCCATGAGCCTACTGCTCTGAGTTTCCTAAAGCCTAGAATGGTTTGCCAACAGTCCTGAAATATGAATACCATGAAGGATTTCTGTCGAATGTTTATGTCACACTCAATTCTTCCCCAGTAGTTAAGGATCCATTCTGGTGCCAAATATTAGAAATAAATGCAAGAGTGGCGCCTGGGTGGCTCAGTCAGTTGAACGTCCGTCCGACTCTTGATTTCAGTTCAAGTCATGATCTCAGGGTTGTGGGATCAAGCCCTACCTCGGGCTCTGCACACTGCGTGGAGTCTGCTTGAGATTCTCTCTCCCCCTCTGCCCCTCCCCCTGCTCCTGTGTGCTTCCCTCTCTCTCAAATAAATTAATAAATCTTTAAAAAAAGAAATGCACAAGAATGAATTACAAGTTGTCCTGGTGCCGATGACCACATCTACACACTTGTCTATATTGAACTACAGAAAGGTATACTTTGAGAAAAGTCTACCCAAAACCTGATGGTAGAAAATTACCCTAATATACCCATTTCACCCTAATGTATTCATCATGAGCATATTAACCTAGTCTACCCTGCAGTTGATGCCAGTTAACATTCTATTCAGCCCCCTGAACTCAGGTAAACTTAGACGTGACAGATTTCCTGCCAGTCTCATTAGCATAGCCTCATTATCCTTCAGATATTACTTAGTTCAAAGTTGTAAGTCCCCAATCCTAAGGACTGTGTATGTATGACCCCAATTGAGGGGCGCCTGGGTGGCTCAGTTGGTTAAGCATCTGCCTTCGGCTCAGGTCATGGTCCCAGGGTCCTGGGATCGAGCCCCGCATCGGGCTCCCTGCTCAGTGGGAAGCCTGCTTCTCCCTCTTCCGCTCCCCCTGCTTATGTTCCCTCTCTCGCTATCTTTGTCTGTCAAATAAATAAATAAAATCTTTAAAAAAAAAAAAAGAAACTGAAAAACAAGGGGCATGCTTTTCTTCTAGGAAAATCTTAAAAGACAAAGTTCTGAAGGTTAGCTGGCCTTCCAGGCCGGCATCTTGCACCAGTGCACTGACCCAATTACTGGTCTCTTCAAGCTGCTGTGTCTGGAAATTTGGATGCTATTAAGGTCCTCCAACACATTATACTTTACTCAGCTAGTAATTATGGATCTGAGCTCAGCTCTGCAGAAAACAGAACGGAACGGTCAGCAGTCATACTCCGCGCCTTCTCCCCTGGTATCCCGAGAAGAGATTACAATGCTCCTCCAGCCAGCCTTTGCCAGTTTTCCCCATATTTGGCCTGACCCTCAGAAACTTCCCATAACTCCAGGTATGAATCTCTGAACTTTAAAGTTTAGCATCTAAACACCTTCACCCTGAAGTATTCTTCAGAGTCTGGCATTCAAGAGCCATAAACAATATGCGGAATCAGGCAAGGATATTGGTGCTATGGGAGAGAACTAAAGATTTGATTAGGGTTTTGAAACTGAGTGATTTGTTCACTCCTCATTTCACTGGAGCAACCCCAAATCCTGGTCTGCATGGGGCTTGACAGCTGCTCGGCCCTGTATTACAGAAAAAGGAACTCCCCTCCTGTGTAGCCATCACTCATTGTCCCTTCTGTGGAAATTCTTGGGGAATGGGAAAATATATCAAATCATATATGCATGTGGAGGCACTTGGGTGGCTCAGTTCGTTAAGCATCTGCCCTTGGCTCATGTTGTGATCCTGGAGTTCTGGGATCGAGCCCCGCATCGGGCTCCCTGCTCAGGGGGGAGCCTGCTTCTCCTTCTGCCTGCCACTCCCCCTGCTTGTCCATGCGCTCTATCTCTATCTCTGTCTTAAATAAATAAAATCTTTATTAAAAAATTACATATATGCATCTGTCACGGAACAAAGTCTGGTTCCTGCGATCCTGAAAGTCTTGAATTAGAAGTTGAGGCAAGGGGGCACCTGGGTGGCTCATTCATTAAGCGTCTGCCTTCAGCTCAGGTCCTGATCTCAGGGTCCTGGAATCGAGCCCCGCATCAGGCTCTCTGCTCACAGGGAAGCCAGCTTCTCCCTCTTCCACTCCCCTTGCTTGTGTTCCCTCTCTCGCTGTGTCTCTGTCAAATAAATAAATAAAATCTTAAAAAATAAAATTAAATTTAAAAAGTTGAGGTAAGCAGGCCCAGGCTCGACAGCAGCCCTGCTCTGTATTTGGTTTGAAATAAGGCCTTTAAACAGACTTCGTTCTTCACAATGCAAATGTAGAAGCTCTGATCCATGAAAGAACTGTAACAAATTAAAATTAACCTACTAATGAAAATCAGTATGGGTATTTTATCAGAGAAGGTTTGAATGTAACTATTCTTATGAGTATGTGAACACAAGATCATGTTTGAGAGCGTGACATTTGTTTTTAAATTGGTTTTCGCCAAAACACAAGAAGTAATCATTTTGCTCTTTGAGCACAATGTTAAAAATTTGCTTTTAATACGAGGGAAATATTTTTTAAATTAGACAATTTCTATGAAAACAAACTGAAATAAGATGTTATTCTGGATTCTGGATTCTTAAAGATGTCGCCTTTAACCGTTTTAAATCAAAGGAAGGGAGACAACTGGAAGGCAGAACTTCCAAGCACATAACTAAAGTGAAAAGAAAGCCCAATGGGTACACTGCAGGAGACAACATAAAAATCTTTTTCAAAAATGTTCACTTTGGGGAGCGCCTGGCTGGCTCAGTCAGTGGAGCACGGGGACTCTTGATCTCGGGGTTGTGAGTTCGAGCCCCACGTTGGGTGTGGAGATTACTAAAAATAAAATATTTTAAAATATAAACAAATAAATAAAACTTTCCAAATTACACGAGGAGAAGACAACTGTGCAAAGAAGATCATGGCTGTTAATACATTTTATTCAGATCCATGGTTACACTCCTTTGCATGAGTGATCAGGGGTGGAGTTTTATTTGCAGGAGGAGAAGGTCTTCCAGAAGAAATTCTTGCAACGTGCCTTCTCCTGCAGGGACCGCTGAGGGGGCAGGATGTCCGGCCGCTTGGCCACCTCCCCACCTGCCCCTCCTGTGAAGGGTGCTGCGCCCACCTGGGAGGCCCACTGGTACCGCCCAGCCAGGAAAGTCAAGAGGCTGTTTTTCTTCATTTCTATCACTTCCTGCAGATGCTTTTAAAAAGACGCAGAGGACAAAGGAAAGAAAAATAATCAACCATCTGGTTGAGCCAGCATTAAAAGATCTATAATTCTCCTTCCTCAAAAAAAAAAAAAAAGATGCTTCAGAAGAATAAATCACATTTCCATTTAAAGGATGAGAAAGTGGGGCACCCGAGTGGCTCAGTCATTAAGCATCTGCCTTCGGCTCAGGTCATGATCCCAGGGTCCTGGGATCGAGCCCCGCGTCGGGCTCCCTGCTCCGCGGGAGGCCTGTTTCTCCCTCTCCCACTCCCCCTGCTTGTGTTCCCTCTCTCACTGTCTCTCTCTCTCAAATAAATAAATAAAATCTTAAAAAAAAAAAAGGATGAGAAAGTTAAAAGAAAAATAAAATAATGAGGAAGTTAAGAGAACACCTTAATGAAATTGTTCTAGTTAGAGAAGGAAAAGTTAAGAAATTTCAGTCAAGGAAAAAAACGGCCTGTTTGGCCCATAATCTTGGCTGAGGTCCTTCATTAGACGAGGTCAGGAAATCTATCATCTTCCCTGCCGCCAAGTGCCTGGTCTGACTCCTGGATGTCCACAAATTACTCTTTGAGACAGATCAGATTGAGACGTGATAGTCCCCTCTTTCAAATTCCTTAGAAACCTTCTAGGAGTAACCTGATGATAAATGACTTGTCTGAAACTCATCTGGTAATTTTAGAGAAAAATCCATTTTTAATGGCCAACTTTATGTACTCTTTCTTGGAACTTTTTCAAAATGGAAAAAAAAGAAAAATAAATCACCTCACAAAGTTACGAATTCTCACGACGGAAACTGTAACGATGTCAATGAACCTGAGCCAATGAGCAGAGTCCCATACCTATAAATTAAGATTCTAGAAGCATGTGTGGCGAACGCAGGCCGTCGGCGGCCCCATGATTGCCCTGCGATAGACTGGTATGATCACTTAACGTTTCAAAGACGAGCAGATGGGAGATCGCCGGCAGGGAAGCTCCCCCCTTGAGTTTCGGAGCTCTCTGCAGGTTGTTGGGACCACTGGAGGTAAACAAGACCCCGCAGTCTAAGAGGGGACATCGCAGGCCAGGGGGGTGGCTGGGGGGCAGCCCACAAAGGTCAGCCCTGCCTGCCATCTGTCGTACACACACTCGCCCTGGAGCCGCCGGCAAGCCAAGCCAACAAGGCCAAGGACCGAGACAGCCAGAAAGTGGACTAGCCTGCGGCCCCGTCACTACTCACCCGGCTGTCGTGTCTGGCAAGGCCACCCTCCAGGGGCAGGGCTGCGGTGGCCGCGGTGGCCGTGGCCCCCGAGAGCAGGAGTAGGAGCAGGCAGAGGGGTGGCGGCATCCTGCGGGCTGACCGGCACTTCCCTCCAGCTCTGGGGCTGCTTATCCTTGGGAGCCCCGAAATCCATGTTTTGTGCACTTGGTCTCATCGACCGGAGGGGAGGGGTGGGGGGGCATTTTAATTAAGCTCCACCTGCAGCTGGTTTTTTTGTCTCTGTCCCTGTCAAAAGCCTGTACCCCCACTTCCCTCATCCTCAAGCAGTGATGCACCTGCCTAAGCCCTCAGCCCACAAAAGCGCTTTTGGATCAGAGTTAACCCTTCATTAAAGCCACCATGGTTTCCCAAGTTTAGAGCAGATTTGCTTACTTTGGAGGACAGTGCGCTCGCTCCTGAAGGAGTCCCTCTTCCTCATGATCACGCCCACAGGCGACAGGAAGCCTCGAGCACAAAGCCAAGTGATTTCACACAATATAAAATCAGCGGTGTATGAGGAGCTGAGGAGCTGAAATTCTGCCCATGTAAGGTGTGGCGGAATCTGCTGTGGGCCGAAGAGACAAAGGGGGACCGGGGGGTACAGGGAGGTGCTCAGAGCACCCGCCGGCTCTCACCAAATCGCAGGCAAGGAGGCTGAAAACCCAGACAAGAGGGCAGGTTCAGGAGCGCCCGGGGATGCTGGCCCGGAGGGGCCTGGCTACTTCTTACTCAATGACCCGCACTTGACCCGCTTTCCTGGGAAGTCCGGAGCGTGGAGTCCTCCTCCGTGTCCCACCCCCACCCCCCCGGGGCTTCCCCTCCCTGGTCCCAGTTTCAGAATCCCACAAGCAAATGCACAGACCCTCTTCATCCAACTGAGACAGCCGGTAAACTGAGTCACTGGCCGCAAACCTGCCACACGGGGCCAGGAGCCACAGCATGGTTCCAAGTGGAAGTTAAGCAACCGAATGGACGCGCTCTCCAAAAGTGAAGGCTGACTTTCAGTTTTCCAAAGTCCTGGTTTACACCCCTCCCCCAAGGGAAATCTCCATCTTAAATTCCAGGTCAGCAGAGACTTGTAAAGATTCTAGGCAGAACGGGCATGGCCTGAAGAATCATGGCTCATTACTGCATGTTGCTTCGTCTTTTTTTTCTATACAAAAATAATTTTTTTTTGCCTAAGAAAATTCCCACAAATGGTATTAAAAATGGAGATTCTTTTTTTAATTCAGTAGACTCCACGCCCAACATGGGACTTGAACTCATAGCCCTGAGATCAACGGTCCCCTGCTCTACCGACTGAGCCTGCCGGGTGCCCCCCAAATGGAGCAATTCTTACAGATGAGAAACTCACGGCAGCTCACCAGTTTCTTATACCCTTGGTATATTTTGCAGATTTTACTGGACAGACTCCTTAGACACTCTGAGCACCTATGCATACACAGAACTACAAAGGACCCACACCACCCACACTAGCAGGGCTGGGAGAGCCTAGCCAGGGGGCAGGACCCACAGCCTCCAGTGCAATGGGAGTGTGCCAGGGAGGGCACAATGGGTGGAGGAAGCCTACGTGCCCTCTTATTCCTGGCTGCCTTCAAGCAGGAGGCCACCTGTCCTGGTCCTTGGAGGAGAGGGCTGAAGACTAAAACCCTGGCTTTGCTCCTGGCCTCTCTGTGGCCTATTTCCTCATCTGTATAACGGGGATAAAAAACAAAAATTAGTACCTACTGCCCCCATCAGAGAGCTGTCGTGAGGACCCAAGAAGGTCCCGTAAAGCACCCAGCCCACGTGGAACCCACGGCAGGACGCACGTCGGGCAGCGCTAAGAAGACAACATCCTCAATCCTTCTCCTTGTTCCCCAGGGTAAGGAGAAGAGCCGTACACCACAACATGTGGGAGCCCCCACAACAAGAGCCATGCAACCCAAGGGCTCCTACTTATTTCACCAGCACATCTTACATGCCAGGGTCCAAGTATCTCGGGGTGCCTCCCGCGAGCCCCGCACTGCACAAGGCACCAGCCATCACGTTCTCCAGCCCAGAGCCTGCCCTCTGGGAGCTGACAACCTGAAGTCTTAGGCAAGAACGTGTTTCTGAAAAGATGTCTAATGGGAACTTTTGATTAAAAGGAACTCAGTCCGGAATTATTTTGAAAAACAAAGAGTGCTCCTTCTAAAGGTCCAAATGCGACCAAGAGAGAAGTTAGAGGGTGGAAGACTTTTCTCTAAGTACAGAAGAAACCTAACAGTGAGTGTCCCGTGACCAGACGGGCTCTGTCCCTGGAGAATTCTGCCGGAGTTCCTAGGTGATGGGGAGCCTGGACTAAACGACCCCTAGGGGCTCTTCAGAAATTCCACAATTCAGTAAAGGAAGAAGCGTGTCCTGATGTAGCCTTTCTGGGACATCCAGGTTTTAAAGTATTGTCTGTGTGCGAGCCAGTGCGCATTCCAGCTGCTGGTGTGTGCAGAAAGGGATGCTTTCAAAGTGTTCTGACTCCGGTTAATTTCAGTAGTAACACATCACCACAAGCCCTTTATTTCAAGTGCTTCGAGGAACCAGTGCAACAAGACGACGACAAACATTATAAATATAAGTTGCCCCATCTATGTGACCAGGACACACTCCTTCTTTATTTGGTTCATCATCTGGTAAATGATTAATAGGTTCACGTTTAGAGGAGCTTCCAGGACTCTGAGGAAGCCAGCCCACAAAAACAGGGCCCTCCAGAAGCCCTTTCTGCCATCTGTCCCCAAAGACGGAATCGCACAGGATGATCGGCATCACTGTGGATATTCCAGAGGGAGCGAAACCCCACGTGGAGCGTACAGTGGGGAAGAGGCAGCTCCAGAGAACCCAGGAAATGGAGTCCGCTCTTCCTCGCAAAGCCTGACCGCTCCTGTGTTACAAGCCCTGAAAAACGTGTTGTAAGCCTGCTCATCTGAAGTATAAACGGGGCGCCTGGGCGGCTCAGTCGGTGAAGTGTCTGCCTTCGGCTCAGGTCATGATCTCAGGGTCCTGGGATCGAGCCCTGCATCGGGGCTCCTTGCTCAGTGGGGAGTCTGCTTCTCCTCCTCCCCCCAACACGTGCTCACTCGCTCTCTCACTATCTCTGTCTCTCTCAAATAAATGAAATCAGATCATACATAAATATGCAAATATACCAAACGATTACATGAACATCAAGTTGAGTTCCCAATTTGGCTAGAAAACTTCACATCAAAATAGCCAGGCCATGGCCAGAGGGCCCTCTCCAGCCCTGAACCAGACACAGACGCCCGTGGCACACATGGAGTTCAACCACTTCCAATCCCCCATATACCCAGTTTGGAGAGCTATAGAAATCCATAAAGACAAGACCCGTAACAACAGTCCTCCCCATTTCCTCTTCCAGTCACATAAGCCCTATTTCGCTGATGAGAACACAAAGCTACAGAAAGTCACACCGCCACTAGAGTCCCAAGACCAGGAAGCAAATCCGCGTCGGCGGACCTCTGGCAAGTCCGTGGCCTCCAGCGTCCAACCTCGCCTAATGCAGATTTACAGCTTACCCGAAAAGGAAGCTACTCAGTACAGATCTCGGCGGGAGTGGGACTGTCAGGACGAAGCTTTAGGATTCCCTTCTCTTAGCTGATGCGATGCGTGGATGTCACAGTCCTTTTCTGAGGTGAAAGGAGGAGTCATTTACAGACCCTGAGACTGAGGCTTGATTTCAGTGCTTTCCTGTGCCCAGAGCTTAGCCAAACTGTTGTGGGGTGTCTTTTGCTGATCGGTATCCATTCTTTCCAGAACACCTGTCCTGTGCTCTCTCATCCCCTCTTTAGGGGGTGAGCACCCCAGGGTGAATACTGTCTTGACTGGTCAGCAGACTCGGGCAGCGTGCCAACCTCTTCAAACCTCGGTCTGCACACCAGTACAACGGGTAGATTCACATCCGCCCCATAAGGCTGTGAGGATGCACTGAGGTCCTATATGGAGCCCCGGGGCAGCCTGGCACAAAGAGAGGGCTCCCAAATGCAGTCCCGTTCCTTATCCCTCCTGGCCCAGCAGGGAAAGGCATGCCCTGGGCACCCCTGACACCCTGCAGAGAAGACAGCAGGACTGGAAGCTCCGGCCCTCACAGACCGAACCAGAGCACCACACAGGGAAGCGTTTGGGGAAGAGAGCAGGTTTCCTCTCAAGCAAAACCTCCATCCCGTAGAACCAGAGTTAAATTACAAAATAGCTGGAGAAAAGTTATATAAACTGTGTTTCTGGAGAAAATCACCTTTAAAAAGTAAAATGGACACTTTCCAAACGCGCACCTGTGAGCATCACATTGACCTTGTGGTCACACGCGACACAGGCTTAAAAACCACACCGACAGATCTGATCGACAGAACTAAATAAACAGCTCTAGGGTGCCTGAGTGGCTCAGTTGGCTAAGCGACTGCCTTCGGCTCAGGTCATGATCCTGGAGTCCCAGGATCGAGTCCCGCATCGGGCTCCCTGCTTGGTGGGGAGTCTGCTTCTCCCTCTGACCCTCCCCCCTCTCATGCTGTCTCTCATTCTCTCTGTCTCAAATAAATAAATAAAATCTTTTAAATAAATAAATAAATAAATAAATAAATAAATAAATAAATAAATAAATAAATAAACAAACAAACAAACAGCTCTACTCGTCTCTCCGGGACTGTCAGCCGGAAGACTCATGTAGAAGAAGAAAGAGATAACTAAGATGTTTGCTCGAAAAAGTCAGTCACATCCTATTGCTGACACAACCTTATGAATGGCAACAGACACCATTTCCAGTCTCGGCCCCTCGGACTCCTGTTAGCGTGGAGGAGACTCGGTGTGTTTTCCTTGGGCGTCCGGCTCCAGCACTAGCTTTTGCAGCCAATGACCGCAGAACACAGCCCAGCAAGCCTCTTAGCCTTTTTATTTTAATCTCGACTGATCCCTTCGAAAATCCCTTTGTGGCAGCCCCTGCCCCCCGCCCCCCCCCCCGCTGAAGGGACAGAGTTAGCCAGTGGCGACAGAGTCAAGAACCGTCCTTTTTGGCAGCTGCAGCCTCTGCCGGCACCACTGATTTTGTGTTGTCATCCTCTAGCTTCTTCTTCTTCTTTGCTTTTTGTTCTGTGTTAAACTGAGCGAGCTCTTCGGTTTTCTCTGTGATGTATTTTAGCTATCAAAAAAAAAAAAATTTAAAGAATTACAATTTTATCTGGTTGTGAAGCCACTCTATAAACCTGGGGGAGCAGAGGAGAATCTACCCCTCCTAACCACTCCCGCCCTAAGAATTTGGGTGGGAAAGCCTGGGTTACATTCCTCAGAGTGAAACAGAACTTCCAATTTTTCCTGGAAAAAGCAATCAACTCCAGAAATCAACCGAATGCTGCCCACACTCCTACCCAACAGGCAGGAGCTCCTTGAGTAGTCAAGAGTTAAAATGTGGAGCGTGCAGAAGGCACGCCAGGCCTAAAGATACTCTACCAAGCAGCAGTACAATCAACACCCCCCTAAATGTATCCAACTGACGTCACAGAGCAGCTACTATGCACCAGGTCCCAGGAATACAGGGTAAATAATGCAGGTCCCTGCCGTCGGGCAGCATTTTATCGAACGCGTAAATTCAGCCGCAACTCTGTCATGAAAAGAAATTGAGAGCCCCAAATAAAAACAGTATTTGGAAGTAAACAAATGTGCAATAAACAGAGAACTTCCCAGCTAACATTCTAAGATGACTGGCACTGCCCGTTCCTTTGCCAAAGGAAGAAAGGGCTCACCGAAGCCGGCCAGCTGCCAGCCATGACCTGCACAGAACGGATGGAGAGAGGGAAGTGTCTTCCCACGGATGCACAGCACCGCCAGCCACCTTAGCTGTTTTCCTTAGGAATCACATCCTTAGCCTTGACTTCAACTTTGGAGAGAGGGATCAGAAGAGCGGGGCGGGGCGGGGGGGGGGAGCCCAGTGGAAGCGGCGCCAGATTCCGGGCTCGATGGTTTGGGTTCAGTGATCCATCCAAGAGCTCCACGTTCAGCTCTGCGAGGTTCCTGAACTCCAGGGGCCTCCCCTGTAAAATCGGGCTAATAAATGGGGTTATGAAAAACCCTCAGAGGGTGGCTGTGAGGTTTTAAATAACATATGTAAAATAATAACTATAAAAGCGCCCTGTAAACTGTCAACTGCTATACAAACTCATTTAGCAACTACTTATTGAGCACCTGCTGTATGCCAGGCCCTATTCTAGGCACAGCAGATGGAACAGAGAAGAGACAAAGGTCCACCCTGGTGGAGCTCACATGACAGGGAACGAAAAGCGTTCTCACTGCTAGGATTAGACAAGGTCAGAAAACCTCAGACGCCCTGGGTCTGCCCTTGGTCACGGCCACTAGCCAGGGACGATCACAGCATCACCTGTAAAATGAGGGCTGGTCAAGATGACGTCTAGATTTCTTTGGAAAGATAGAAAACAGGCTTGCTTCTCTGCCCATCCCGCCCGTGCAGACACTCCCTCCATCCCTGTGCACACCGAAACACAAGTCTCCCCACGCGCTAGCCCGTGGCCTGTCTCTGACAGCACGCTGTAAATGGAACACAGGACCGAAGTTTTGAGATGTTACGGAAAAGGCAAATTATGAAATCCAGACAGTGCTGATTAGAAAATTTCAAATTGGCTTAGCGAGATCCATCATGATGAAAGAGAGACTATAAATTGCGGGCAGGTCTGAATGGTTCAACCGTCTCTCGTTCTTAATGCAAGGTGCCCTGGGGAATCGCTTCATGGCTGCAAGTGATTAATTGGGAATAATGTATTCTGATGGGAAAGGGGAGTGAGGAAAGAAATTCATCTCTCACCAGTGAATTACTCCTCCTGGCTAAGAGCTTCACATCTTCGGTGTTAATTGTGCTTCTTTTCGCGTGTCTGTAGAAAGGGCAGGAACAATTCACCAAAATGTTTAGTATCACTTCAAGTTTTGATGAAACCCAAAAGTTCATGGTCAGACTCCAAACTAGCAAGGCTCTCTAAGTAGCCCATCTTTTTAGATTAAATTCATTAAGCAGCAATGACGTAAAAATGAGTGAAGTGACTTCGCCAAGATACTAATTAAATAAAGAGACCAAGGAAAGCAACAGCCCATCTGTCCACCTCCGCCCGAGGCCACGGGTGCCTGAGCGGGGACTTGCTTGGGCACAGTGGTCACAGCAAACACCACAGAAAGCGCACGCAGCACGTGTGCATGCACCTTTAGTGAAAAGAGAAAACAGCACACTATCAAACAGCACGAAGATCGCCTCTGCTTAAACAGATGTGAAGTAGAAAAACAAAGATCCCAAGATCCCAAGGGCTACATGACAGGAAGCAGCTCAGGCAGATGTCCCCCTACGCCCCACTTCCCAACAAGGAGGTAATGTACTCCCTCAGCACAGCCGAGCTAGAACAAAGAACATCTTTTAAACTGGAGTCTATGTCTTGCTCACAACTTGGGACTCAAATTCTCATTCCAATCCTCTTATCTTTGCTTTAAAAGGTAATTTCAGATAATAAGCTATAGTCAGTAATTTATTGCTCTAATTACACCATTTCTTGCCATTTCTCACCTCCTCCAAAAATAAGTAGAAACCTTACGCACAGGCGTAAGTAGGCATCTTTGTATCCTTAATAACAAGTAGAGTGGCCAACACACAGTCCTCACCGGATATCTGTTCCATTAACAAGAAAATCACACAGAAATTACACTCCATAATTTGGCCGAATTAAACCTTCACCTCCCACTAAATGTGCAGATGGCGTGTGTCATCTCCTCACGAATGACAGCATCTGCCTGCGCTGACAGTAACCATTTCAGGAGGCGACTTCTAATCGGCCATCCGCAAGGACTGGGAGAGAAAGGGGACAGTCAGAAGGGGACATCGGTGCAGTCACAAGGTAGGCAGCCCGGCCACAGGTGTACCGGGGGGGAGGCAGTTTGGCACCATGCACACAGCGTGGCCCTCAGCCACACGATCGGGCCGCTCGGCCGGTTTTCACATTCTTCGCAAAGTGCCACAAAAGAACAAGCAGAAGGAAGCAGCATAGTGAGCTGTTTACAGAGTAAGGTTAGTCGATCTGTTCACGAGGAAGTGTTCCGGAAACAGCAAAGCCAAGCCTCGCCACTGCTCAGCTTGGTATGTGCTACCTCTGCACGTTTTAATGCCCCTTCCCTAAACGGAGGGGCGGGCATATCCGACGCCGGCCGCCGCACATCAGAGACTCTCCTGAATCAAACCTTTTTTTTTTTTTTTTTTGCATTAGATTATTTATTTATTTATTTATTTATTTGACATAGAGACAGCGAGAGAGGGAACACAAGCAGGGGGAGTGGGAGAGGGAGAAGCAGGCTTCCCGCCGAGCAGGGAGCCCGACGCGGGGCTCAATCCCAGGACCCTGGGACCATGAACTGAGCCAAAGGCAGTCGCCCCAACTTCTGACTCCAGAAAATTACCCAAGGGAAAATTACAAAGCAGTTTTTCATTTAACACGTTTAGCAACACAGGTTTTAAAGACGATTCCCAAAATGTTCCTAGAACCTATTCACTGTCTAATATCTATCTTCTTCAAAATGTGACATCTTTAACATGTTAACGGTATCAGGTGACTAGAGATTTCAAAGCTAAGTAAAGGAAATTTGCAACTTAAATTGGGAGATGATTTTCCAAAGTTTACAGGTGAATTATTTCAAATTTAAACCCATTTTCTCATAGAAACAATGTTACAAATACCAGTTAGGTTCCCAGCCAGCTGACAAAGACCATTTAATATACAGCTGGCCTGAAACAGTCCTTCAGACTCCTTGTAGGACTCACAGTTCTAGAAGACGGTGGCCTCGGGGAAAACACAAAGCCACAGGATAAACAAAGCTGACCTTCTGGGAATATCAATTTTATTCCGTGATAAGTTTTTTTTTTTTTTAAGATTTTATTTATTTATTTGAGAGAGAAAGAGAGAGCGAGCACGAGCAGGGAGGAGGGGCAGAGGGAGAGGGAGAAGCAGACTCCCTCTGCTGAGAAGGGAGCACGATGTGGCATTCCATCCCAGGACCCCAGGATCAGGACCTGAGCCGAAGGCAGATGCTTAACCGACTGAGCCACCCAGGAGCCCCCTCACCCCCACCCCGAGATAAACTTTAAAACAGGATTTTTTTTTTTATATGACAGCAAACTGAAGTATTTTGAAGATCAGTGTGAAATTAGACAAAGGATGAGTCTCCAAAGAAAATCCGTACTTGTGTTGGCTCAGGGTTCACGGCGGGGGGGGGGGGGGAGGGGGCGTGAAGAGCACTGGAGGACACCCCTGGACACAAGAAAGGGGAGACATTGCTTCATCAGTAAGCCTCTGCCTCTCACTTAGACAACAGCAGCGAGACAGCCTTTACACAGACCCTTCCCCGGGCACTTACACTCTAAGTGACACATGACTCTCCCCCCACCCACCAAGTACCCAGCAAAAGAAAATCAACCTCGGGGCGCCTCGGTGACTCAGTCATTAAGCGTCTGCCTTCGGCTCAGGTCATGATCCCAGGGTCCTGGGATCGAGCCCCGCATCGGGCTCCCTGCTCCGCGGGAAGCCTGCTTCTCCCTCTCCCACTCCCGCTGCTTGTGTTCCCTCTTGCTGTGTCTCTCTCTATCAAATAAATAAAAATCTTTAAAAAAGAAAAAAGAAAAAGAAAATCAACCTCTTAACGTAATCATAAAACACAGAGTACCTGAAAGCGCAATGTATTACAATGCTAAATATCTCCAATTTCGTTCTTATTCCCAGTATTTTTACAGAGGCATCTAAAAACGTTCGTTGTCTTTTCCCACAGCTAACACAGAAATGGCAGGAAAAGTCATGACTGGGGGCTTACTGCTGGCATCTAACCAGGCAGAGGCCAGAGAGGCTCAGAAACGCCCTACAATGCGCAGGACAGTCCCCACCACAACCCAGAATGAGCCGGTCCAAAACGCCAACAGTGCTGAGATGGAGAAACCTGGCTCGATGTTGATAAACTTTATGTTCAAATCAAATAATCATGTGCTTACATATTTACATTTTGTGCCGCCCTTTGTAATAAAAAGAAGTTGTATTTCCCGAAAGAAGGAAAGACGTGGCAAGAGGGGTGATAAATGTATTTCGCAAGAGACGCGGGGCTTCGGGGGAGATAGTGGGCGCCATGTAAGGAGCCCCCACCTGAATTAACAACGAATAAGCCACAGGAGCTATTAGTATCCCATAATATTATCTTATCCCTTTTGGCCAAGCTGGCGATGCTAAGCAGTTTTTAGGAATTCACAAACACAGGGATGTGAAAGATTTAGAGTCTGCCCTTTGAGAACCTACTGCTTTAATTCATTCAAAATACTCACCCGAGCAACAGAGAGCTAAAAGGAGCAAGGTGAAAAGCTCGGGGTGTGGGAGAGACTGGCACCGAATCAGCAGTGCGAGCAAATTGGAAAGCTTTAGCCCTTTCCGGCCTCAGTCATCAAACTGCTTCATAAAAGCAATTCGTTGCGATTGTTTTCAATTACCTGAGGTACTAATTGAAGAGATGAGCATAAATCACCTGTAAAAGCTCAAGCTTCCCCGCTGAAAGCAAGTCACCCACTTTTCAAGGAGTGTGTGTCTCTCGGGTGACAGACGCTGTGGACCTGAGGCTGAGTGTCGGTGGGCGCCGGGCCCTGCGCGCTGTCACTGCCCCGACACCCACCCGCAGTCACCGCCAGGCACCCAGTGTGGGTGCGCCCCACACCGCCCTGCGGAACACGCACGCCCTGCATGTTCACAGCCCTCGAGCTGTTCTTCATACCTTTTTAACCAGGAACTGAACAACTCTGCTTCTTTGACAAGAAGTACTCAGAAGATATTTAAAAAAAAAAAAAAAAGCCAAATCAAGTCTGAATGGACGTGATTAAAGCAGATGTTCTATTCTTGCAGAACCATGATGAGAGAGAAGCCTCCAATAAATCCACACACACCCAAAAAAAAGACTAAAGCTCTCCTGAAATACACCACCAGATGGAGAGTATGAATAGGATGTCAACACACACAGCATCAGATACGCAAGCTCTTTACCCACCTTGCAAACATTTCAAGGTCTTTGGCAAAAGTTTCTGAAAGAGAAAAAGACATGCTTTAGCTATCCTCATGTCAATCTTATTTCAGAAGGAGGGGAAGTGCGACCTCAGTTCCCACAATACAGTGATGAATACAAGAAGCCCTTTCCATGCTGGGTGGATGCGCTTCGGGCCGCCCCATCCCTGGACAGGAGCCTTTAGCTGCTTTTGGTTTTTTTGTTTGTTTTGTGAGCCTTTAGCCTAGGCTGTGTGATTTATTTGTTATGACCTCCTTGTCATAATTGTGGTAATTGTGGCCACACTTCTTCTTCCATGAAACTAACTCTAAATGTTAAATTTTGCCCCAAGTTAGGGCTTGAGAGGACATTAATTTCCTCGGACGTCAAGCAGATACCAATGTCCAAGCTCAGCTGTCATATAAACCACGGCATGGGCGATATAAAAACGTTATAAAGCAATGAGATAAAAATGTAATGCCTAATGTTCCAGGCAGTTTAAAACAGAATAAAATAAAGAGGTTCATGAGGTACTAGAAGTAGATGTTTCCATAAAACCCCTGAATCTTACAGCCAAGAAAAGAAATGTTTCGTGAATAGCACCCGACGGTAATGTTCTCCGTCTGACAAGCCACAGCACCCGGCCACACATTTCTCCCAGACAAAAGCAACTTGGGGGATTTCTATCCACAGGGAGGAAGGCCCTGGCTTCGTACCGCACTGCCGGAAGGTCAGCTCCGAGACCGCTGCAATGGTTTGTTTGCTGAACGGCATCCCTCTGTCCGATGCAACTTCCTCACACAGACAACCAACAGTGTAGTGGACAGCCGCTTTCAGCCTCTGCAGCAAAAAGTCAAAATACTTCATGGGTGAAGTTGCAAATAAGAGCTTTCCACACCTTCGAAAATTAAGACCAAGGAGAGGGGTCTGCTCAGCCTAATTCCTTCAGCACTTTCCATAATGGCTGAAGACTTTTCAAGTGTACTAATAAATTAATGAGGCCCTCTGGAGTGTGACTTGGAGAAACATTACTTCCTTGTTAATGGTTATGATTTAGGTCAAGTAAAGATAAGGAATTACAATGGCAGGTCAGCGGGGAGAAAAGTCAGACTTGCACTTGCAAAGTATCTGCATAACTTTACTCAGATATTCCACAAATGTGTACCCGTTCCTACTGAGTAAAGGCATATGCTAGGTGCTTAGGGAACAATGAAAAACCAGACAGGGGTTACTCTAGTGAAATGCAAAAGGATCCCATCCCTCCGCAGCAAGTCTCTGCCAGCCCCAGGCCTGCATGTTACAAAGGACAAACGCTCAGGACCATGCTGGGAAAGGTCTGTGAGGACACGTCTGACCCTCCTTTGATTTGTTGGCTTGCTAGCCCACCTCACCAGGACCCTCACTGTTCCTTAGCAACCCTTTTAGATACTGAAGAACATAGCTTTCCCATGCAGAGGAGCAAAGAAGCAAAACAAAGCCAAGCTAAAATCTCAGTCTCCTGTCAACAAACTTATTGTGCCCCTGGGTGTGCTCCTTCTCTATGCTGGAGACAGAACTGAATTGGACAGGGGGACAGCTGAACCCCAAACAGCAAGTGTTCACAGCTGAAACAGAATGAAGAGGAACTGCAGAAACACAGGTCCAGGACCCCAGGGTAGAGGCCGGGCAGATAAGCAAGGGCAACGACCTTTCTTAGTTTCAGATGTCAAACAACTAGGTAAGTTCAGGCCTATGGTAGGAGGAGACAAAGGGACCATCACCCTGCGAGGGATAAAGAGCCCCCTGGGTCATCTTTTTTAGGTACGCATGGGGGTGTCATTAGAGGAACAGGACAGGGAGCCTTCTGAACATTCCAGAGTTTTTTTATCCCTCCTCCTCTGCACGCCTCCTGGACGGGGCCAAGTGCGTGTGCCTTCTATAATGTTGCAGACAACACTGCACTTCGAGCCTCAATCCCTAGATCCAAATTCTTCAAGGGCAGGACCCTGTCAGTTTTGTTCACTACTGTCCACTCAGCACCAAGAACAGCTGGATGAATGGGTGGCGGGATCCTCAACCTGCTCACCAATTTCTCAGCCCACCTTTGCAGCCTTACTCATTTCTTCGGTAAGTATGGACTGTCCACTGGGAGCCAGGCTCTGCACTAGGGGCTGAGAATGCAAAAAGGAAAAGAACAGCCTTGGCTCTCAGGGTTTATCTCCCCACCACACCTTTGCCATCTGTGGACTCTTCAAAACCATCAATGCCAGGAAAAACAGAGGGTGCAGAACTGTTCCAGGGAAGATCAGAGACAGGATTACTAAATGCAAGTTATGCCCCTTGACTGGATCCTGGATGAAAGAAAAAAAGACCAGAAGAAGAAACAGCTTTGGGACAACTGGGGCAATGTGCGTATGGACTGAACGTCAGATAATAGGGTTTTACCAATATTAAACTTCCTGAGTGTGATACTTGAAATTATTATGTACGAAAATACCCTTGTTGGGAGAGGCATGCGAAAGTACTAAAACTTGGGCGCCTGGGTGGCTCAGTCGGTTAAGCGACTGCCTTCGGCTCAGGTCATGATCCTGGAGTCCCTGGATCAAGTCCCGCATCGGGCTCCCTGCTCAGCGGGGGGTCGGCTTCTCCCTCTGACCCTCCCCCATCTTGTGCTCGCTCTCTTTCATTCTCTCTCTCAAATAAATAAATAAAATCTTAAAAAAAAAAAAGAAGTCCTCATCTGGGCGCCTGGGTGGCTCAGTTGGTTAGCCAACTGCCTTTGGCTCGAGTCATGATCCCAGGGTCCTGGGATCAAGCCCCACATCGGGCTCCCTGCTCAGCGGGGAGTCTGCTTCTCCCTCTGACCCTCCCCCCTCTCATGTGCTCTCTCTCTCTCATTCTCTCTGTCTCAAATAAATAAATAAAATCTTAAAAAAAAAAAAAGAAAAGAAAGTACTAAAACTTAAAGGGAAGGTGTCAAGGTACCTGCAATTAAATCTCAAATGATTAAGAAAAAAAGAGCAAAGGAGTAAATACAGCCAAGTGTTAACAACTGGTGAATCCAGGCGAGGAGCAAATGGCTGTTGAGCGCACTATTCTTGCAACTTTTCCTGAAACCTTGCGCTTCCCCAAAGAAAGGCGGGCGGTGGGTTAACAGCCTCTGGAACGGAACACGGGCAGGAGGGCACTCCCGGGCACTGAGCTCACTGCGGCTCTTCAGTCCACCCTCTCTGAGGTGGCCGCCCTGGTTCTTGCTTCGTTCGCTCTCACGACTCTGCCCGTGTGCTTGCTGCCGATGCTCCCGCAGCCGCCCTGGCCGGAGGTTCTTACTACCCGGACTCTGCGTGCGGGGAAGCTGGGCTGGGGCAGACCGCGCGCCGCTGGGGCTGCGGAGCCGGGGCCGGGACCCACGCGGGAAGGAGCCGCCGGGTATCGGGCTCGCAGGCCGGGCCCCGCGCTAAGTGCCGTGCCTGGACCCCCTTCCCGGGCGCACACCCCATTCTCACCACAGCCCTGAGAAGGGAGACCGCGGCTGCCGCAGCCAGAAAGGGCCCCCCCCCGTCCCACGCCGACCCGCGTTACCCTGGAGACCGCCTCCCAGCACGCCCCGCGGCAGCCCAGCTGGCGCAGGCGCAGGCGGCCGGAGCGCGCCCTCCGCCCCGGGGGACGCGGCCCGAGGAGCGCCCGGCGGAGGCCTCGGGGCCTTTCCGGCTCCAGAAGCTCCACGCCGTCCTCCCCCAGCCCGACAGGGACCCGACTTTCCTGTACCTGTCGGTAGGAGAATCGCTGCTGCTCCTCCCCACTCCCTTCCTCCTCCTCCTCCATCACAGCAGGGCCAACCCGGGCAGGCGCGCGAGGGCAGAGGGAGGTGGCGGCCGGGAGGAGCCCGTCGGATTTCGCGCCGCCGCTCCGGGCGACGGGCCGCGCGGGGGGACAGAGCGCGAAGCCCCACGCCGCCGCGCGCGCCCTCTGGCGGCCGCTCCGGGAACGGTCCTTCGCCGTCCGGCGGCGGGACCCGGCGGCCCCAGCCCCGGCGCGGCCCCGTGGCTTTACGGGAGCCCTCGGAAGGAAGGCGCGTGTGCGGGTACAGCGTTGTCGGGCGGCACCGTTCGCTGTGAATTCCGTGTGGCTCTAACCTCCGCGGGCCTTGCAGAATCCACCCAGTGTCCGTAACTGTGCCACCAGCTAGTGTTAGGGCGTCAGACCGCAGGCAAATGCTGGATGACTGTCCCAGTGAGCAGCGCAGAGTCAGTGAGTAGGTGACAGAGCCCGGGCTCGGTCACTCAGCAGCTCTGCCCAACACGGGGCTCGAACCCACGCACCCAGAGATGCATGCTCTTCCAGCTGAGCCAGCCAGGCGCTCCAGGGCCCCCAACTTTTTTTAACATTTTTAAAAAGATGTTATTTATTTATATATTTTATTTTTTAAAAAAGATTTATTGATTTATTCATTCATTCATTCATTCATTTGACAGGGAGACAGCGAGAGAGGGAACATAAGCAGGGGCAGTGGGAGAGGGAGAAGCAGGCTTCCCACTGAGCAGGGAGCCCGATGCGGGGCTCGATCCCAGGACCCTGGGAACGTGACCTGAGCCGAAGGCAGACGCTTAAGGACTGAGCCACCCAGGCGCCCCTTTATTTATATATTTTAAAGAGAGAGAGAGTGTGTGTGCATGGGCAGAGGGAGAGGGAGAAAGCAGACTCGGAACCACCACAGAGCCTGAGATCATGACCTGCCCCGAAATCAAGAGTCCATGCTCTCCCAAGGGAGCCAGCCTGGCGCCTCAGGGCCCCCAGTTTTTTTAAAGGATTTTGACTTGGTTATATATTTTCTAAAGTCTCGCTGCAGTCATCAGGGAGAAAACACTCTCCTTGGACCTCCTCACCCTTAAGGCTTAAGGTTGTGTTCATTTTTTACTACATATGGAGGTGAGCGTTGAGGGTTCCTGGGGGTATTTCGAACCCCTTCCCAGGGCACGTGAAAATCATCAGCCTTTCCTGACAAATATGAAACTAAGGAAGAAAAGAAGGGTGCTCGGTGTGTATTTATTTGTGCTCAATTGAGAGAACACACAGGCAGCCTCCCCCCTTACCACCTCTGTGGAAAAAGTCAGGGATGGGGGGGTGGGGGGGAGAAATTGCCGGGGCAGAATCCCACAAGGATTTCCTGTGACTCGTCATGCAGGTCCACATCCCTGCTGAATCCTAAGTGGTGGAGGCTGAGGAGGCAGAGATGTGACATACAAAGTTACAGGGGTGATTATATGCCTAACCTGGAGATTTTGTTCTTCAAAATAATCTACAAAGGGTTCTTAGAAACACAAAGCTCTAACATATTTTAACTGCCAGTTTATAGAATGAGGACATTAAGGGAAAGAAAACTTGCAGACCGGTATGAACCGAATAACCTTATTTTTGTTTTTAAAAAAGAGCATATGCATCTATATGGAGAAGTGGGATATTTGAAAGGAATAGAAAGCTGGAAGGATACATGACAAATACAGTTAACTTCTGAGCCGTGAGCTGAGGAGAAGGCAGATAAAGACACTCAAATTTTCGCTTTATATATTCCTGTATTCTGCATTTCTTAACAAGTATGTTTGTCTTTCCCATAAGCCACTCTTGATCTTCCTCTTCCACAGAAGTGCCCCAAACCCCACAAGCGTGCCGATGGCTGAGACCCAGAGAACCTCTTTTTGGAGGAATCGGCCTTCTGATCAATTTCCATTGCATCCGAGATAACATGTGCCTCTGGCCTCCTCTCCCCATTGCTCCCTGAGAGAATCCCAGTGTCCAGTCTCCTGGGATGGTCCCCAATGCCATGCAGGGCAGGCCTCTCACGGGATGTCCCTGATCTGCAGCCTCTGCCTTAGCAGGCCCAGTTCTGCCCGTCAGTAGCCGCCCTGCTCCCCATGCTGCCACTCTCCGGTCTCCAGCAGGAAAGAAGGGGACCAGGGGGTGTGGAATGGGCGGAGAGCAGGTGGGGAGCTCCAGCCCTAGGCCCAGACCTCAGGTTCGGAGCCTAGCCCCATCACAAGCTTTGTGACCCAGGGCGAGCCGCAGGACCTCTCCAAGCCCCAGTTTCTGCATTTATTAAGTGGGGACCCTAGTACCAACATAGACAGTGGTTGTGAGGCCGAGATTGCACCTAAGTGCTCAAAAAATAGTCATGGTTTTCTCCTGGGCAGTTTTTGTGCTTTGTACCTTGCATGTTACCTCATTTTAAAGCAGCTGCTTCCCAGGACGCCTGGGTGGCTCAGTCAGTTAGGCGTCCGACTCTTGATTTTGGCTCAGGTCGTGATCTCAGGATCATGAGATTGAGACCCGAGTTGGGCTCCGCGCTGTGTGTGGAGTCTGCTTGGGATTCTCTCTCTCCCTCCCTCATATATATATATATATACACATATATATGTATAAATTGCTTCCCAGGGCAAAAGAACGTTCTTCTAGTGGTCTGTGGAATATGCACGCATTTCAGAGTCTGATAGAGGAAGGTCCAGAGCTGAGGTGTCACGTCACAGAAAATGGGTCTATTTGGATGGAGCGATTTTGCCCAGTAAGGAACCAGCCACGATAAGTGGCCACTAGATGTCAGCCTTGTGCCACGTTGTGCAACAAGGCCAGCCCTACGGCGGTGATCGAACCCTTCCCCAGGGCTTGCCAGCTCCTGGGCGGTTCTCGGAGCCCTCACAGGTAGGTACTGGGATCCCGTTTGATAAGTGAGGGAACAGGGTCACAGAGGTGAGAGAACTTTGCCCGAGGTTAACGTGCTAGGAAGTGGTGGAGCCCAGAGCAGCCTGGCTTCTGAGCCCGAGCCCTCGCTGTAAGAAAGGCAGGGACATCTGCGGCCTTCCTGGATCCTTTTCAGCTGCATTAAATAGGGTTCCATGAATACTTAATTCAATAACAGTCATCTTTTATTTCCTCTCAAATTACCCCATAAAATGCTGATTCCAAAAAATCAATCTCCTTTGGTTGTCATGTGGATTCGGTGAGCGCCTGAGGTCAGGACTTTCCATCTGCTCTCCCGCGGACGCTGACGCATGGTCGCCCGCACGGCGCTTGGCACGTGGTCGGTGCACGGTGAGCGGGCCGTGGCCGGGTGGAGTGAGCTTGGCACGTGGTAGGTGCATGGTGAGCAGCTGTGGCCGGGTGGAGGGGTGAGCTTGGCACGTGGTGGGTGCACGGTGAGCGGCCGTGGCCGGGTGGAGGGGTGAGCTTGGCACGTGGTAGGTGCACGGTGAGCGGGCCGTGGCCGGGTGGAGGGGTGAGCTTGGCACGTGGTGGGTGCACGGTGAGCGGGCCGTGGCCGGGTGGAGGGGTGAGCTTGGCACGTGGTGGGTGCACGGTGAGCGGCCGTGGCCGGGTGGAGTGAGCTGTGCACTCGGAGCAGGAAGGTGGCGCGGTGGTTGAGGGCACGGGCTCGGGCGCCAGGTTGCCGTGGTTCCGGCCGCAGTGTTTCAGGGCTGTGTGACCTCAGACAAGTTCCTTCACATCCTTGTGCCTCGTTTGTAAACTGGGGATAAGGACGGTACCTGCTTCAGAGGGTGTCGTATTAAAAGAGTTCACTTAAAACAATGCCTGGTGCACAATTATTACTATATTCCTGTACGTGCCGTTTATATGGTGTGAGTCCCTCAGGAAAACTCCCAATTAGGGCCAGAGGTCCTGACTTCTCCATTTAACAAACTGTCTTTTTCCAGGGAAGCATATGTGACAGATACTGGCTCGAAAAGTCGAACCAGTATCTCCTGATGCACATGCCCCTCTAGAACCTCGCCACTCTGCCATCAAGAGGTACAGTCTCATCCTCCACCCGTTGAATTTGGGGTGCTTATGACTCGCTTGTAACTGGTAGGATGTGGCTAATGCTGTGTGGCATCCATGGCTAGGTCTTAAAAGGCAAGGCCGTGTCTGCTTTGTTAGCTGGAACACTCACCTGCGGAGCCGAGCCCCGGGTAAGCAGTTAGCCCAGCCGAAGGCTGCCATGCCGTGCGGCAGCCCAAGGCCACATGGCGAGGCCACATGTACCTTTCTCAGCCCTAGCTGAGGTCCCAGCCAGCAGCCAGCATCGACCGCCAGATGAATGAAGAGGACAGACATCTCCGAGTGACCCCAGCCATTGAGTGGCCCTGAGCTCTCAAGTCATTTCGCTGAGGCCCAGATACCGTGCAGCAAAGACAAGCTGTGCCCCCTGTGCCCTTCCAATTCCTAACCCACAGAATTAGGATAATAATAATGGTTATTACCTGTGTTCAGGGTGGTTTATTAAAACAGCATACAGGATTACTAGACAGTGAACATATATATACTAACATACGTGCTAAGCATAGTTCACGTATCCGGAAGGCCTCTCTGCCTCTCCTAAAAGGATGGGCTCCACATCTGCCTCAATGAATGTGTAACATTGTCAATCCCCTGCCTAAAGTCTCCTTGCTGAGAAATCCTGTCTGCTCCCTTGCCTGATCCATCGGTCTTTATAACCAACCTCTCTGTGTCCAAAATAAAGCAGAAGTTGTGGCTAAAGTCATTAATAGGATTCCTGCCCAGAGAGGCCCCTTCCTGGAATAGCCAGCAGGTTGTCCCTGCACAGTCAGGTTGAAGGGGGCAGACTTGGCTGGGGGCAGAACCCCTGTGTGGTCACCTCCATCACCTTCAGGACTGTTGAGCAGCTCAACTTCCACAGGAGCCGGGTAAGAGATGGCAGACCCTGCGTAGCAGTCACTGTGTGGCAGGTACTGATTTCCCCCAGCAGCTCTGTGAGGGAGTCTCACCGCCCCTTCCGTGCAGATGAGAAAGTACATGGGCACAGAGGGTCAGTAACGAGCGGAGCAACGGTGAGTTCGTGGCGGGGCTGAGCTTGGGGCCCAGGCTCCTAGCCAGGAAGCTGAGCTGCCCTTACTGGAGCTAACAGTTTTTACTGAGCTGTTCTTCAAGTCAGTCACGGGATGTAAAATTCAAAAAGCAGGAATGCCTATCTAGTAAAAATAGTCTCCCCACCAAGGAGCTAGGCAAAGGACTGTTACGTTCTTTAAAACAACTTCCTTTCATTGTGCCCTCACTGTGTGCCAGGTACTGGGCCAAGTACTTGATACATAATCTGTTACTGTCCCAATAACCTGGGGAAGACGTTTTTAACCCCGCTTCACAGATGAAGAAATGGCAGGGCGGAGGACCTCGATGCCAGCCAGCAGAGTCCGGGTGCACGCTCCAGCCCTTCTCTCTGGTCCAGGGGCCAACGTGGCAGCGACTGGGAGCTCGTTAGAAATGCACAGCGTGGGACCACACCTCTGTCCTGCTGAATCCAAATCTGCCCTTTTTCTCAAGACCCATCCCCGGGGGTGGGGGGGGGTTGTATACAGTTTGAGAAGCTCCACCGGCCTCCACTGGCCTTCTGGAAGATGCCTGTCTTAACCTACACGCCCCGCCGTGGGGCACACAGAGGAGCCCCACCAGGAACCTTCTGAGGACTGGTTTGCAGAGTGAACTTCCCGCTGGGTGCTGAGACATAAATCTGGTTTCGAACTCTCAGAAATCCCACTGCTTCAGGACAGGTGCAGCCCGAAGTGGTAATAATGCCACATAGAGGTGCTTATGACGTGCCAGGCACTGGCCTATTCTTACTCCACGAATCCTCAAAATAGCCTTGAGGAGACAGGTACTGTTATCCCATCTTACAAATGAGAAAACTGAGAGCAGGGATAGTGAATAATTTGCCGAAAGTCCTACAGCTAGTAGGTGGAAGGGCCTGGATCTGAAGCTTCATAGCTTCTGGATGGTGAGCAGGGGCTTAAGTTCTATTGCACGTGATCAGTAGGATTTCAGACACTTCTGGACAGTCCAGCTTTATGTGCTTTTGGCACTTAGCCTCCCACCCCTCACAAGTGTTTCTCTTTGAAGGAACTCGTTCTCCATCCTAGGAGCACCTGTCTGCCTCAGAGCAAGTAGTCAGAGATCACCTGCGAGAAAAGCTGCATCGAGGGGTTCCCATCCCTTAAAGAACCCTGTCGGGGCGCCTGGGTGGCTCAGTTGGTTGGGCGACTGCCTTCGGCTCAGGTCATGATCCTGGAGTCCCGGGATCGAGTCCTGCATCGGGCTCCCTGCTCAGCGGGGAGCCTGCTTCTCCCTCTGCCGCTCCCCCCGTTTGTGTGTGCACGCACGCTCTCTGACAAATAAATAAAATCTTTAAAAGAAAAAAAAAAAGAACCCTGTCAGGAGCAGTGACTCAGCACCTCTTAGATTTGATGGGGGCGGCGGGGAGGGCTGACAGAGCCGTGTCTAGCTAAGTACTTACATCCACGCTGAGAGCTTCAAAAGCTGAACATTTAACGAAAAGGATCGCCTCCCATGTCAGCTCTGTGAGCCCCTGCACTTTTTGGAAAGAGGTCAGGGGTCAGATTACACACCAGCTGTCAAAACAAGGAAGTCCTTTGCTCTATTCTAGGATACTCTCAAGACTCTGTAAAGCATTCCAGAGAAATCTTCTGGGGTTAAGCTGCTGGAATAAAACAATTACACTGGCGCCGGGCCATATAACACTATCAGCAAGTGTGCTAGCGGGACCTTGGTTCTCGACTAAGATGAAGTGAACAGGCCCCGTTCAAGGAGTAGGCTTAGGTTGCTAAAATTCCCACCCCAAACCCATGCGCCTGGCTTAGGGACAAACAGAAAGAGGTGGGCACACTGAGGCCCCCGTGTCGTTTAAATGTCACTCCCTAACACGTGTAGTATGAAGTGTGACACACAAAAGGCATGAAGACTTATCAGTGAACACCCGCAGACCCAGCGCCCAACCTGAGAAAACATTCGGGTCCCCTGTGTCGCCTCCTCCTCCTTCCTCGCACAGTTAACCAGGATCCTAACTTTGGTGTGTTTCGTATATTGTTCTGGAGTCTTTTTTTAAAGAAAACAGAGAGGAAAAAGTGAACACGGCTGGAAGGAAACAGGCTCCAATGTGATGCAACCAGCCGCCAGCCTCCCTGCCAGTGGTGAGAACGGCTCAGTGTGGCCGAGGGGAGAATACTGACGAGTCTGGAGAAAAAGCATCCGTAGAATGTACCTTTTATTAAGTAGAGAAAAATGGGAAATCTACGTGATACAAAGTTTCCAGTTTGAGCAAAGTCCACAGAAGCCCTTCGGATTCCCGCGAGCCTCTAGCAGGGGGAGCTGCTGCCCCTCAGCACAGGGACGCGTGGGAAACGGCTTCCGGGAGCTGACCACGCACGCACGCACGCACGCGCTCGGCTCCAAGAGGCCGGGGCGGAGGGCATGGTGCTGCTCACGGAGCTTCTTTGCACGTACACTCACGTGACTTTTTCAGGAGTCTCTTATGAGACTTTATTTTAAAAGGTCTGAGCAGAGAGGAGGGCGGAGGGCTGTGTAAGCAGTGTCGGTGGCCAGTGGGATGTTCCAGTCTAGGGAATCGCGGCAGCTGACCAGTCTGATCAGGCATTGTATGAAGAGGACGACACACTGCCACCATGGCCCGTCCAGTTAGTGTGGATAAACTGCCCGGGTTTGGCTAAGAGTTCGTAAGTGTGAGCCCCAAAGTAATCCCGCTGAGCCTGAAACAAGAGGTCGGGTGGGTTGGGATGATACGCAGACAGGCCGCCGTCAGGCAGCAGCCAGGTTAATGTTTACCACCTGCTCAGAAAGCTCACCTGGATGAGGTTGGCCGGTAGCATCTCATGTCTGTACCCGTCATAGAAGGACAGGGCCGTGGTGAAGCAGGGCATGGGGATGCCCGCCTGGACCCCGGTGCTCACTGCCCGCCGCCACGAGCCCTGTGGCAAAACAAGCCCACGACTAGGGGTCAGCCCCCCGAGAACTGCTTCCTTTCTAAGTGACAGAATTCCATGTGCACCGAGGCTGGGAAGTGAAAAACAGAATTCCCAGCAACCAGCTCCGGGCTACCTACCTGGCAGTTTTCAACAGCTGACTTAAAAAAGTCATCTAGTAGCAGATTCTGAAGTTGTGGGTTCCGATCAAATGCATCCTTTATCTTTCCTAGGAACACGCTGAAATGATCAAGAGGGAAGCAACCGTGACTCTTAACCTGAGCCCGCTGAACATCCGACAGAAAGCAGCTGACACGTATGCTAGTGACAGAGTTACTCCTCATTCCCGAACGCCAGCGGTTCGCTCGGGGACAACATGGGGCCTGAGGCCCAAGAGGAAAGGCCAGAGGGCGTGATCGTTCCCACAGAGTACAGATGATCTAGTCAGACCAGGTAACTACAGGAAGAAAGTGGGACATGACCATCTGAACCAGTCTCGTCGCCAGTGCGGAGACCCACCGCGCCAGTCCCAGGGCAATTGTCCACATAGGCGCAGAGCCACCACTCTGACACGGTGGCTTGGCGTGTGCCCCGCACTCACCTCCTGATGATGCAGCCACCTCTCCACATCAGGGCGATGCCACCATAGTTGAGGGTCCAGCCAAATTCCGTGGCCGCCTGTCTTAGCAGCATAAAGCCTTGCGCATACGAGATGATCTTGGAAGCATAGAGGGCCTAAAGAATGATGGACCCACCAGAGCTAGAGTTAGCCACCTCCTCCCCGTCAGCAGTGCGGGTCCTGGCAGGGCCAGTGGTTACAGGACAGGGCTCTGCTGCCCCCATCTGGGCCTCCCACGTCCTCCCACCCCCACTGTCACCCGAGGCACCAACAACCACGGCCAGGGACTGGGCCCCACCTTCCGAATATCCTCCAGGAATGCTTTCTTATCACCTTCAAACTGGATCTTTTGGGGACCCTTCAGCTTTTTACTAGCCTGAATCCTCTCGTCCTTCAGAGATGATAAGCATCGAGCAAAAACTGCTTCTCCTGCGTAGGGGAAGGAATAACATTACCAAAGTTCACTCATAAAACCGAAGGGACGAGAGTACACATAAGCCGGAAAGAATGAGAAAAATTAGAAAAGGAGCTGATTTCCAATTGCAAAAGAGCTGAAGTTTCAACCTTAGGCCACAAAATTTAACCTGGCTCAGAAAGAGTTTTGAACTTATAAAAAGCTCTAGACCGTTAACGTGATAACTAAAACTCCAAACAAGTCAATCTTCCAACTAAATGTAGGTATCAATCACAAAGATCAACATGAAATTCAAAAGAGGACTTCTGAGCGCCTGGCAGGCTGTCAGTGGAGCCTGCGACTCTTGATCTCGGGGTTATAAATTCGAGTCCCACACTGGGTGTGGAGATTACTTAAAAATAAAATCTTAAAAAAAATAAAAGGGAGGAGTTCTAGGGAAAAAAACAAGGAAGTAAAAAACCACTTTTATTCAGAATTACTCTGTTGGTCCATATGTAAAATTTCAATTTCACTTGAGAGGACTTTAATTTTTAAATGCTCACCAAAGACTATTTATTTATTTGACAGAGAGACAGCGAGAGAGGGAACACAAGCAGGGGGAGTGGGAGAGGGAGGAGCAGGAGCCCGATGCAGGTCTCGATCCCAGGACCTGAGATCATGACCTGAGCCAGAGGCAGATGCTTAACGACTGAGCCACCCAGGCGCCCTGAAAGACTCTCTTCTTTAGAAGCACTCACTACCCCTTGAAAACTAGTTAACATCAGGCAGCCTTCGAATTCAGCTAGATGCTCAGCTACGGTGGCATTGCCTTGATGTGGGGGTTGTCTGCAACAGCTAGTACATTGAGAAATAACAGACTCGCCCCTCAAAAAACTCCATTTTCTTTTTTTTTCCTCAAGATTTTATTTATTTGACAGAGAGAGACAGTGAGAGAGGGAACACAAGCAGGGGGAGCGGGAGAGGGAGAAGCAAGCTTCCCACTGAGCTGGGAGCCAGATGTGGGGCTCGATCCCAGGATCCTGGGATCATGACCTGAGCCGAAGGCAGAGCCTTCTGACTGAGCCACCCAAGCGCCCCCAAAACTCCATTTTCTAATTATTAAAATTTAGTTTCCAACACGTCCTTGATCACCATAATTTTGTTTCATTTGAATAAACATTTCATTATGGTATTTTAATATCAAGACATTTAGCATCTTCAAAAATTAGCCCTTCGAAAAGACAACTTGCTTAACTGACACTTTATATACTTAGAATAAATTACTCTAGGGGCGCCTGAGTGGCTCAGTCATTGAGCATCTGCCTTCGGCTCAGGTCATGATCCCAGGGTCCTGGGATCAAGCCCCGCATCGGGCTCCCTGCTCGGCTGGAGGCCTGCTTCTCCCTCTCCCACTCCCCCTGCTTCTGCTCCCTCTCTCACTGTGTCTCTGTCAAATAAATAAATAAAATCTTTAAAAAAAAAAAAAAAGAATAAACTACTCTTAACTAATCCTCGCTCCACAGACAGACTGGAGTAAAGCCTCTGGCCATTCACTTGACAGGCAGCCCAAACTGGAAACACAAGCCGGCTCGGCGGCCACGCCCCGCCCTGCCTCGCCCGCCCTGCCTCGCCCGCCCTGCCTCGCCCGTCCCGCGCAGGCGCCCGCGCCGGGGCGGAAGCGATGGTGTAACACAGCGGGCGCACGGAGGCCGTGTTACCCAAGGGCCCGCTCCAAGACTTCCTTCCCCGTTAGTTCAACAAACACGAAGGGCACCCACCCAGGGCTGAAGCCTGGCCCGCCTCGGGCGGGGAGAGGGGCGCACAAGAGAGCAGGGCTCTCTCAACCTACTCTGCTCTTCCACCGCCCTGCCCTCGCCGCCCCGAGCTGGCTGAGCCGCCCGCTTCTCCTCGCGTGCCTCCGGGCACGGCCACTGGCGGCGGGCAGCCTAATTCATAGGAAACGAAAAGGAGGGAGCGGGCTAGGGCAGCCGAGCAGACAGGAAAATCTGTTTTACTGGAGGGGCGCCCTCCTGCCAGGAGCAAAGATGAGCCTTTCCCTCGGCAAGCTGGGCACCTTGACTGTCCGTTCTCAAGCCTGCCAGAAGTGTACCCAGTTTACTCTTAAAGGACCAGCTTGTTTTATGAACCCTATTATTATTTGTTCTGTTTATTTCTGCTTTCTGTGATTTCCTTCGCCCTGTATCTTCTCGAGTTTGATGCTCAGCTCACTGCTCTAAAACAACATGTGAGAGAAGGACACACACCAGTGGTCAGGATAGTGGCTTTCTTCTAAACGAAAGACGAAGGAAGAGAATATTAAAGGACCTGAAATGTATAGGTACTATTTTATTTTTAAAATAACTGGGGGAGGGGCACCTGGGTGGCTCAGTTGGTTAAGTGACTGCCTTCGGCTCAGGTCATGATCCTGGAGTCCCGGGATCGAGTCCCGCATCGGGCTCCCTGGTCGGCAGGGAGTCTGCTTCTCCCTCTGACCCTCCCCCCTCTCATGCTCTCTCTCATTCTCTCTCTCAAATAAATAAAATCTTTAAAAAAAAAAAATATCTGGGGGAAGGGCGCCTGGCTGGCTCAGTAGGAAGAGCATGTGACTCTCGATCCCAGAGTCATGAGTTCAAGCCCCATGTTGGGTGTAGAGATTATTTATAAATAAATAACCTTTAAATAAAATTAAATAAAATACTGGGGGGGAACCTAATCAAAATATTAACAATAAATGCTGGGACGTAAGCTTATGTCGTTCGGTGAACTTCCGTATGAAAAATTTCGTTACCATGATCTTCCCCACTGGAAAGTCATGGAAGTCACTGAACACAGTTCAATCCCTAAGACAGAAGCTACCCCGAAGGTCGAACTAGAGAAGAGAGCCAGGAACTCCCAAACACATCTCAAAGACCCTATGACTGAGAGAAGGTCATCAGGAAGAGATTCGCGAGTGTCAGCCTCTCACACGCGAGGAGCAGAAAGCACTGACCGCTGACGAGGGTTGCACACGTTTCCCGAAAACCCGGTCCTTAGTGGCCAGTCTACCCCAACATCCCAGAAGGACAGCAAGGGAGCACCAGTGAGGCGAGGGGCCTCGGCTGGAAGCCGCACATTACCGATGAGGGTGACGGGAACGCCGTACTCCAGGGCTGAGATGGCAGTCCACTTCCCTGTGCCCTTCTGCCCCGCGCTGTCCCTGATCTTCGGCAGCAGGTGTTTGCCGTCGCTGTCTTGGAACTTGAGAATATTGGCCGTGATTTCAATGAGGAATGAGTCGAGCTCTGTCTTATTCCATTCCTCAAACGCCTAGTGCAGGACGTGAGAGGAGCGAGCGTGAGAGAAAGCAGGCCTACGCACAAGCCCCCTTCCCTGCGAAGAGGGACCGGCGCTCACGACTTGCCCCGCCGTCCACACTAACAGGCTCCACGTACGGGTCTGAGCCCTGCTCCCCCCGAGTTGAGTTTTCTGCTCACCACGAGTCAGCTGTATTTGATTTGAGCCTGGTTATGCTGACTGATGACCAGCACGGCTCTCCCCTCAGAGCCAGGCCCTCCTCACCTCACACCATCACCTCCTCGGAGGCCTTCCCTGCTCACCGGACCTACTCCTTACACCCGTTTCCTCTCCTTCGGAACAGTTACCCCCACCTAGTTTTACACCGGCTGGGGGGTTACTATCGTGTCTTCCCAGCTCCGTGCGGGCAGGGACTTCGGTTTTTTCACTATTACATCCCCAACATCTAGAACAGTTCCTGGCATACAGAGCAGCACTTGTATATATAAATACGTTAAGTTTTAAGTAAATCAATTACATTTGAACACACAAAAAGAAAAGCACTGTTTCTATGAAAATAAAAAACTTTTGGAAAGAAGAGTAAAGGCAAGTTAGTGAAACCAAGTGGGGATGACACGTTTAAAAGTTAGGAGGAGGGGCGCCCAGGGAGCTTGGTCAGTGGAGGCTGCAGCTCTTGATCTCGGGGTTGTCAGTTCAAGCCCCACATTGGGTGTAGGGATTACTAAAAAAATAATAAACTTAAAAAAAAAAAATTAGGAAAAACTGTAAAAAATCTGGAAGGATTCTGCAGTGTCACCTTGCAAGGAAGTGTCCCTAAATTATGTTCCCCTCGAAGTCCCTGGAAGTGGAAATTTGAGATGATGAGAAAGACACCTATGATGCCGGCCAGCAGAGCTGCACTTCGAGGAAAGGACGGGACTGAAGATGGATGTGCCTCCCTCCATTTTCAGTGAAAATAAGTGTTTACCTAGGAACGATGCTGAAGTCTTAAGAGAGTACTGGTGTTTACCTCAAAATGTATTTTTAGAAGATCAAACTGATAGGATGGGCGGACATTCAATAAAGCAAGTTAGTAAAATGCTAGTAGGCGAATATGGGGGGTGTGCATACAAGTGTTCACCACGAAAGTCGTTCAACTTTGCTGTTTGTTTGAACATCCGGTTCATAATAAAACGCTGGGGGGAATGTTTATGTTTCCCCCACTTTGACTTTTTTTTTTTTTTAAGATTTTATTTATTTGACAGAGAGAGAGACAGCAGGAGCAGGGTCAAAGGGAGAGGAAACAGACTCCCCACAGAGCAGGGAGCCGGACGCAGGGCTCGATCCCAGGACCCTGGGACCATGACCTGAGCAGAAGGCAGACGCTTAATGACTGAGCCACCCAGGCGCCCCTCCCCAACTTTGACTAACTTTTGATTAACTGTCAAACAGCCAGTCCCAACCTGACCAGGAAAGCAAGCTTCCATCCTGCCTCTCCTATGGGACAATGGGGGGACCAAATGAGGTAATGACCATAAAAGGACACAGGCCTGACACATGAAGGGTCACTAAATGGTGGTAATGATCACCGCCAAGATTTTCGGGGGACTTCTGGCTCAGCGGCTAGCTATCCTATCGTACAGCTTTCCCTTAAATCAGGCTGAGTCCATCCTTTTTTTTTTTTTTACTTAGCACAAGCCGGGGAGAGGGAGAAGCAGGCTGCCTGCTGAGCAGGGAGCCTGACGCTTAACTCAAATCATGACCTAAGCCAAAGGCAGACGCTTCACCAACTGAGGCACCCAGGCGCCCCTGGGCTGAGTCCATCCTGCCACCAGCATGACCACAGGAAGGAGGCGGAGGAAGGCTTTACTGTTGCTAGCAAATCCCTCTCATCTGAGCAGCAGTCGCCTGCTGTAGCCCGGAGACAGGGCCCGGCACTCACCTTTGCCATCTCGTCATGCCCCATGCCCAGCACATCCTTCATCAGGTGGTAAGCCTCACAGATGAGCTGCATATCCCCGTACTCGATCCCATTGTGCACCATCTTCACAAAGTGTCCTGCTCCTTCATCCCCAACCTGTCAGGGCAACGAGCACCAGGAGGCCTTCAGAGGCAGGTAATAACCCAGAAAAGCCCACATCAAGTTCTTTGGCGAGGCTCCCTCCCCATACAAAAAATAACAAATAGGGAGCAAATATCTGTAGTATTTTTAAAATTAAGCGTCACTACATAACAATTCAATACAAGCTTCAATCCAGTCCAGTGTTCCTTCAAACTCACTCTGAATTCGTTCCTTTCAAGATTTTCCCAAGCCTCCCATTCACTGTAAGCACCCACAGCTCGTCGGCCTGCATTTCCCACCCTCCCTTGTTATGAAGGGCCCCTCGCTCCCAGCCCTGCCCACAAGTGAAAGACCTCCTCTTCCCGAGGTCACCGTTCTCCTAGCCACTGGGGGTTACAGCAAGTTGGCTAATTAAATCACTGGCACTGTTAAGTATATAACTGTGTTGTAGTTGTTTCCAATGGCTACCAAGGGGTAAAATGACCTTAGATCCCAGGTCTGGCCCTCAACCTGGTAAGCCCAGAAATGTGTTCTTGCCAGTGTCTCACCGTGGACGAGACACAGATTTACAGTAAAGCTGGCAAGATGTATACAGGCAGAATACCAGTTTGTGAATTTAGGGTAAAAAACCTAACTACGGATTTTAGTGGCTACAAGTGTTAGTCCCGATGGCACATTCTGTCCCTACAGACGAGCTGCGTAGGAAACCAAATCATCGAGAATTGCTCAGTGGGCCAGGAATCAGAACAAAGGGAGTTTCAGGGTCAAATATTCAGGGGCAGCGGGCTCTGCAGTCAGGCGCATCCATCTCCACAACAGGCATCTACCTGCGCGGTGGACCCTAGGTCGCTTGACCTGAGCGGTCTCTGCTCTGTTACCGCCAGGATCCATACAACTGACCTTTACATCCGAGACTCCCGCCGTCTGAGTTTCCACTGCTGACGTGCCCCCTTCTGATTCTGACACCTTCTTTGGCTGCTAAGTAACATGGCTAATAACATCGTACTTCACCCCATCCCTCCTGTAACTTCAAGAATGAACTCAGGACTGCCTGCTTTTAGTATCTATACCAGTTTTCTCAATAGCCTGAGAGTAAGTCTGAGGCTAAAGAACGTCAAGCTCCGACTCAGTCAAGACACAGCAGGGCCAGTACTGGTTTTTCTTCATGATTCTGTGTCTACAAGAAACGTGTCTACAAAGGAGTGACTGTGGCTGTCCTTTTACTGTCGTAATCGACTGTCGTGGCCTGAAAGTTCCCTGCCCCGTCCATACTAATGAGAAAATCCTCAGCCCCCCAAATCCAGCCCAGCCTCTCTCCACCCTAAGCAGACTTTGCCTGACTCGGGGACCGCTGGTTAAGATGTACGGACCGGCATCGGGGGCTACAGCTGCCATCAGCAGGCGGGGTCAGGCCCCCTTCCATCTCCGCCTTTTACCTCCCTCATACGAAATAAAGCTAATAAAGGGGATTAGGAGCTAAAGAGAACTCGGAGACCACCCAGCCCACCCCTCATATTTTACGGACAAGAACACCTTCCTGACTGACTCGATAATGTCCCACAGTGAATGTGAGAGCCAGAATTACAGGTCGGGTCTCTCAGCCTAGTGCTTTGCCCACCCATGGCATGGACTGGGGCTGCAGGAGGGATAAAACTGATTTTGGTAGCAACACCAAATGCAGGAAGGGAGGCGTATAAGAATGAGCCTAGGCCTCCCTCCCGTTTCGTGAAGGCGAAAGGCCGTATGTCACATACTCTGTTCAAGCACAGAATACCTGCGTCCCAAGCTACAGGAAAGAGATTTTCCACAGCCGTGGCCAGGACATCTGACAGCACCAGCCCTTCAATCCTGCTCCTTCCATGCAGGTAGACGGAGCCCACCTTTCATTCTGACATTTTCTTCATTTTCATGAAGTCACACAGCTAATAAAACAAGTCTCGCTTCACCTCATCCTTGCTGTGCCTTCTTAAGAAATCCAACTTTTAGATGAATTGAGGAGGGCTGTTTTTAATACCAACCTCAAGGCTCTGAAATATTCAGTTAGGAGGCAAGGACACGTAAAACAGCAGGCATGCATCCTAGGCCTCAGCTGCGCTAGCGACTTCAAGATTGAGAAGCTTGTCACAAAACTAACTACTGCCACCAAGGCGGTCCTGGCTCTGTGCACTTTGTCATGTCTGTGCCCATGTTACCAGCTGGCTTGAAAGAGGAGCTAGAACTTGCCCAGTCACAGCAGGGTTCTCCCGTCCCGACTTTCGCAGCGATGCCTTGGAAGATTGTCTTGATGTGGGGCCTGTGGGAAGGAACCATGTAGTTTAGCTGCTGAAAAGAGGGACTGAGATCTCAGTTAAATACTCAAGGACCTCCCCCCCAATCTTTTTCTTTCGAATGGGAGGTGGACGTGCCAAGTCCACGTGGAAAAAGTAATGAATGTTCCAAGTCCACGTGGTAAGCCCCACAGAGGCTGCAGACTACCTTGTTGGAGAAGACAGAAAGGCCAGCCGGAAGCATCCAAGCACCAGGAGAAATCTCTTTTGCACTATAAAGGAGCTGTGATGCCGAACAGCAAGCAACAAGGAAGTTCCCGTGCAGATGCCTGTTACCGGTCTGGGTGCACGTTATCAGGCCCAGCAGGACTCCGCCCGCACAGACCCGAGCTGGAGTTCCCAGAGCAGCGTTCTTCGCTAGTGCAGTTGTTCCTCACCCCTCCCACTGCCCCGCTAGGAGGATCTGTGAACTCACAAGGCTTTCTGCTTCTGTTCTCCTCACTACTGACCAATAAAGGCTTCTTCACAAGAAGTTTTTGGTAAAGACACAGGGCTGCCAGGGTTGCAAAGTCAACGCTCAGGATTAGAGCTAAGACAGCTACACATTAAGCTTTAGAACTTCACTGAACTCGTACTGAGCATTTCAGGTAACGGCACCACTCCTACTTCTGTTGGGGCTCGATCTCACCACCCTGAGACCGTGACCTGAGCCAAAATCAAGAGTTGGACACTTAACCAACTGAGCCACCCAGGTGACCCCATTTTAAACACTATATTAACCATCATTCCTATTACTTTTAGCAAACAATTTGAATGAGTCTTATATATGCTGAAGTTTGCCAGACCGGTCTGAGAATGAGTCAATGAGCAATTGGAGCATCTCTGCATTATCAAATATTTTCATGTGTATCGTCTGTATGTCTAGCCCAAGATAAATGTTTATGAACTACTGAGAAGCAGGAAGGCCTCTATCTACTTCTAGATTTCACAAACTGCAGGGGCGCCCGGGTGGCTCAGTGGGTTAAGCATCTGACGCTTTATGTCCGCTCAGGTCATGATTTCAGGGTCGAGGAGATTAAGCCCCATGCTGGGCTCCACACTCAACGGGGAGTCTGCTTATGATTCTCTCTCTCCTCTCCCCCTGCCTCTCCCCCTGCTGACACACGTTCTCTCTCCTCTCTCTCAAATAAATAAATATATAAAATCTTTAGATTTCACGTACTGCAGAAAATCCCCGAACTTACTCATCAGAGAAGTAATTTAAAGAATAACCTTCCCCAGGACCCTGCACCTCTGGGAATTAGGTTTGATCACTCCTTACATAACTCTAGCATATTGGAAATCAAACTCATTTAGGAAAGAATGGTACCTTTCCACGTCTCCCTCAAAAGGATCCCTCCTTTTCTGTTTCTTTCTCTTCCGCTTACCCACCTCCCTCTGTCTGGCTCACCTCTCTGCAATCTCAGCAGCGGGTTTCCCTCAGTCTGCGTCAGGCGTGGTTATTACTTGCACCTTTTCGATTCTCTGTCCCGCTCACCCCCCACCCTTATGCCTTATGCACCCCACCCCTGCTCTTACATCCCCGCCACACCCTCCCCTCTATGACCAGCATTTCCTCTTATGTACAGCACAGTGCACAGTGTAAAACTTGTTTTATCCCCAAGTAGATACAAAACTTCCACCTCACTTTCCCAGGGACAAAACAGGCCCCATCAGATTTTTCCATTACTCACGATTATTAAATAAAGTTATTTGAGGACTGTCCATCACTTAGAGAGGCAGACTTTACTTCTAAGTCCAGACAGTGCCCAGGACATTATTCGAACGGCTTCCTTAAAGCCCCTGAACTCAGTAAGCCTGTTTAGAGCTTCCAGTATCAGTCTTGGAGGGAATAACAGAGGAGGCAAAGAGAATATGCATATACATGATATCAAAGCAGCAAAATGTAGAGACAAAAGAAGTGTTTCCAGCATCTCCACCACTCAGGAGCCACAGAGACCAGCGCTGCCCACAGCTCACTCCCCTCACCGCTCAGGCTCCCTTGTGAAGTGAGGGTGGCACCTCGGATACCCACCAGGCTTGTTTGTCCCCTCCTGGCATAAGTGAGGGGCCATACCGGGCCCCCTCCTCTCCACCACTGACTCCGCTCCCCACAAACAGGATGCCCTTGGCCTTGAGGTCACGACATCGTCTCTGTATGAGAGAAAAATAATTTTGTTATGCTTCCATAAGACAGTTTCTCCCGATGAATGAGAAGAGGTATAAGACTGGTAATGGAGAGCCCACACTGGACATGAAATGACCCCAGGATCCAAGAATAACCTGATCATTCAAGCAATTATATCCCAGGGCGCCTGGCTGGCTCAGTGGTAGAGCATGCAACTTTGATCTCAGGGTCATGAGTTCAAACCCCACGTTGGGTGTGGAGCCTACTAAAAAAAAATAAATAGAAATAAACAGTTTTAAAAAGAAATTTAATTCCCTCAGTTTGGGAGTTAAGAAAAAAAAAAAAAATCCAGGGAGCCTGGTTGGCTCAGTCAGTAAAGCATGTGACTCTTGATCTTGGGGTTGTGAGTCTGAGCCCCATGCTGGGTATAGAAATTACTTAAAAAAAAAAAAAAAATCCATGGAAGTTTAAAATAGCTACCCTTCCCCCAAAGGGAAATAATAAATAAAGCCAAACATACAATCTCATTTTCCTGGAAGATCTAGTACCGTAAGACTCCATTAAGAGTTGGTGGGTTTTGGCGGGGGGGGGTTGGTTTTTAAGAGTTGGTTTCGTATGAGTATGACCTCCTGCCACTCAGCACTTGAGATGGTACAGGGTCTTCTTTCAGCCCACAAGGCCAGTAAAGCCGTGGTTCTCAACCACATTGTTCACTGACGTGTCATGGGCTGCTGGTGGAGGAGGGAAGAGCTAAGCACAAACCGTCAGCCTGCAGTATTTAAGCAGAAGTCCTCCGTCTGAGTTACAGGTATGACTGAGGAGACCTCAGGTACGTCGCGGCAGAAACAGAGGCTGAGGACTGCAGTGTCCGCTCCAAGCTCTAGTATCAGCACTGCAGAAGGACGGTCCACTCTTTTATGATGTGTGCAATGCTGGTACTTTATTCTAGAATGTTCTCAGAACCAGGAAGAATTCAGCCTGAAGAATACTTACTGTGGTGTCCCTGTATTCAGAATTTCCTCCATCGATGATGATGTCGCCAGTGTCCAACAATGGTACCTGTAACCAGACGCTAGCATGAAGGTGGGCCAAAGAAATGAGAGACAAAATAGAACGTACCTTGACCAATTAAAACAAACAAGAATTTAACCCAATAAGCCCAATCTAAAAGCACACGTTACCTAATTTTCAGTAATCCTCCCTGTGGCTAGAGCTGGGGCCTACGTGCGAGGTTAGGGCTCGCAACCCAGTTGGAACTCTCTGCAACGAAGATCGTTCTCTTTAAGATTTTACAACAACCGATATTATGCAGCCATCAAAAGGAATGAGATCTTGCCATTTGCAACGACGTGGATGGAACTGGAGGGTATTATGTTGAGCGAAATAAGTCAAACAGAGAAAGACATGTATCAGATGACCTCACTGATATGAGGAATTCTTAATCGCAGGAAACAAACTGAGGGGTGCTGGAGTGGGGGGTGGGGTGGGAGGGATGGGGTGACTGGGTGATAGACACTGGGGAGGGTATGTGCTCTGGTAAGGGCTGTGAATTGTGCAAGACTGTTGAATCTCAGATCTGTACACCTCTGAAACAAATAATGCAATATATGTTAAGAAAAAAAAAAGAAGAAGAAGAAGGTAGCAGGAGGGGAAGAATGAAGGGGGGGAAATCGGAGGGGTAGACGAACCATGAGAGATGATGGAATCTGAAAAACAAACTGAGGGTTCTAGAGGGGAGGGGGTTGGGAGGATGGGTTGGCCTGGTGGTGGGTATTGAGGAGGGCACATTCTGCATGGAGCACTGGGTGTTGTGCACAAACAATGAATCATGGAACACTACATCTAAAACTGATGATGTAATGTATGGGGATTAACATAAGAATAAAAAAATTAAATAAAAAAAAAAAGATTTTACAACAACTGGGGTGCCTGGGTGGCTCAGTCGTTAAGCGTCTGCCTTCAGCTCAGGTCATGATCCCGGGGTCCTGGGATCGAGCCCCGCATCGGGCTCCCTGCTCAGCAGGAAGCCTGCTTCTCCCTCTCCCACTCCCCCTGCTTGTGTTCCCTCTGTCGCTGTGTCTCTCTGTCAAATAAATAAATAAAATCTAAAAAAAAAAAAGATTTTACAACAACCAAAACCCACTTGAAAAATTTTGTATTTCTACTTTGTGCCACCGGATGCTTTACGTCGCAAACCCTGGGAACGGGACTCATTCTAAAGGATCCCATCACTTCCTATAAAATCTGCCCAGAACAGGGCAGGGGTCTGGTAAGTGGCCATCAAGCCGGTTTGGTGCCTGACTCAATGCTGTCATCAGCCCTGCCTGAAGCTGGCAGGAGACCAGGCCTCGAACAAGCGCATCTTCCTACGGTGCACAACGAGGCTGGCTTTATCAGTTACTCTTCAGTCTCCCCGCCCAAGGATCCAGCGAACATGACTTCCTATTTTCTTATGCTGAAGAATAAGCTACCACCTTCCAGGCCATTCTCTCTATAGCTAATCGTGACCAGCTTAGCATCTCGCTACACAAAAAGCTTGGTATGTCCTTTCCTTATCACAGTGTTCTTCTTTTCTAGGTCATTTTTTTTCTTTAAATGGCAGCACACTGGTTACAAACTCCTCTCCCTGCAGAGCCACCCCCACTGTTAACAGGGCTCCCGTAGAAAAGGAATGTTCACCCCTTGCCTTTGTTTATTGTCACTACATTCTCACAGCGAAACTGTTTCTTCCCATCAGCTAATGCCCTGGTTTTTCCAGAGCTGTTATTGAGAATGGTTTTGAGTATCTTCGTAAGTTATTTCCACACACGTTCCCCTTCGCCCGTATGCTGTGTGTGGTTTTGTGGGTTTTGTTGGAAGGAAAAGCACCCAAGGCTGCAGGGCACTGGCTGCGAGCTTGTCTCCACTGACCCTCTCACTGTCGGGGAGGTGTGCTGAGGGACCCCAGAAACCACTCACAGCAACAGCGCTTCACCCCAATGTTGCTGGCCACGCTCCCTGGGGAAGAACATGTTGTCGCTATTGGCTCCTCCTCTCCCACCGCCGTCTCAGTGGGAGAGTGGCCATCAGCCCCCCCTGTGAGGGGACAGCCTGGCGGAGACCACACGGAGTAAGGAGTGAGCCCACCACCCCCTAGCCCTGGGCCCGTGGGGGAAAGCCTAAAGACAGGGTCAGACTAAGATGTGTTAAAGAACCAGAATGAGCCCCGACACAAAGCACCCACCTTCAGCTGATGCTCAGGGTCAGAGTGCAGCAGAGGCCCTAGCAAGGCCACTGCAGCCCAAACACATATGTTTTCTCTTCCAAAATATATATATACTTGCTAGAGACAACAAATCATTCAGAAAGTACCCAGCATGTAATCCTAAGATTCCCTAATGGGATCTCATCATCTATATTAAATTATACAACGATTTACATACTGTTACTTTATACAAATGCTGAAAAAAATAAAATCTACTTCTAAATTTGGACACTACGGTTTATTAGTGAATAGCACTAGACATGCATAATGCACAACCAAAACAGTAAGTTTTTTTTGAATCTCAAAGAGACCGAGATTACTACGGTTTCTCTTCCTACTGTTAATGAATTCCAATTGAAATGTCTCTTGGGGTCCCAGAATTTCACATATATGGAATTATTACCACCTGAGGATATGTTGTGACTTAATTAGTGCCAATCAAGTTAACCAACACTGAGACATTGAAGCACTGTTTTGTCTGAACTCAACAGTTCACATCCAGACACTGAAGAGAAAAAAAAAAAAATCTCTTAAGAAAAAAACTGGTGAAATAGCTGAAGGATTGAAGGAGAAAAGCTGCCCCCACCAGCAGCAGCCGGGAGCAGACCTAGCCTCACCAATTTGTCAATGAAATCATCAACAGCTTGACCAGCCTTCACGAGCAATATGATCCGTCGTGGCTTCTTCAGCTTGGAGACCATCTCCTCCAAGGAGTGAGCACCAACCACTTTGGTTCCCTTTGCCTCATTGGCCAAGAAATCATCAACTTTGGAGACTGTCCTATTGAAAGCACAAACCTAGAAGGACAAAAGGTCTGATTAGGAGATCCAGAACACAGAAGGCCTTCTGACCCTAGATTAAGTGGCAGTGAAATTTCTACTCAGCTGCCTGAGGCAAATCAGGCTGGAGTCTGTCACTAGCTGATTGGGACTCAGACTCAAATCAAGGAACCAGCTGCTGCAAACTGTTTATCTTTTGTCACCGATACTCTTTGTATCGAAACAAGCTTAGTGTTTATACTATTTAAACTTTCACTCACCCCAGTTCTCTAACATTAAAGTTTGAGTTCTACGAACCCAGTGCAGATTCCTCCTCCTTAAGATACGGGTAAGATGGAGCACCTGGGTGGCTCGGTCAGTTAAGTGTCTGCCTTTGGCTCAGGTCATGATCTTGGGGTCCTGGGATGGAGCCCTGCTGGGCTCCTTGCTCAGCAGGGAGTCTGCTTCCCCCTCTCCCTCTGCCCCTCACCCCTGGCTGGTGCTTTCTCTCTCCCTCTCTCTCAAATAAGTAAATAAAATTAAAAAAAAAAAAAAACCCAGATAAATTTATTCAGGCTGCAACCTTACAGATATATTTAGCAAGACTCTCCTTCAGAGAATGGTGGAGCTGCCCCTCCCCCCATGCGAACTGGTGCTTCCCCTTCCTTTGCAAAAACCTCATGAGCAGCAACAGGGATTACATCAAGAGAAGTAAGCTGCAGTTGTACAGGATCTTGGAAATCAACAGCAGTGCACCGAAGAACCCACAAGAGAAGTGTGTGTCCTCCAGACTTACCACAAAGCCATGGTCATTCATGTTCAAAATTAAGTTCTGGCCCATGACAGCCAGTCCAATCAGTGCAATGTCAGCTCTAAAAGACCAGGAAAGGGAATAAAGAAAAATGTGTCAGTTCCACTTAATCCATTCCAACTCGGGGACCCAAGAGTGCCCTGGCTCTCGCTGTGAATAACGTGCCTTCCCTTTTCCTCTGTCCCCCTACTCCCTTTCACCCGAGAACCCAGGCATGCACCTCCCAGGCCCCTACAGACAGGCCACCCTGCACTCTGCCACTTCAAAGGACCTCAAGTTCTCTTGAGATCAACTAATCCTGCACGGAGGAGGGCATGCAATCTTTGCTGTGCTCCAGTCTACCCGGCAATGACCCACTGCGGGTGGCCTCGTCCCCCACACTGGGGAGAAGCCCCTGCAGGCACAGCCGCCGACGGGCCAGCCACTTCCCCGGCTCGAGCCCTGGCTTCCCTCGGCCATGCCGCTCCCCTCCCCGCCGAGCCCTTTCTGGGAACGGGGATCCGCCCGGCGCCGCCACGAGGGGCAGAGGGCCTGGGCCCGACGGGGCTGAGACCCTGAAGGTCCGGAGCTCCGGGCGCCACGAGGCCCGGCTCCGCGGCCCCCGTGGTCAAGGCGACCTCAGGAGTAGCTCCGCCCTCCGCGCCGGGCCTCGGAAAGTTCCCCGGGCGTCCGCGGGCCGTCACTCACTGGGCCATGGCGGCGGCGGCGGCGGCGGCAGACCGGGTAGGAGCGGACGGAAGCGAAGAGCTGAGAGCGCGCGGCCCGGCTGCTGAGGATGAGTGCCGCGCCCGCACGGGCCCCCAGACCCTGGCCGCGGCCTTCCGGCGCCGACCAATCGGAAGGAAGGGGCGGAGCTGTGCAGCACGCCATTGGCCCTCCCCGGCGCCTGTTAGACCACCTGAGGCAAACGGGCCCGCCCGCCCCCGGAGCAGGCTCCGGAGAGCGCCGAGCACATCGATGGCAACGCCGAGGCAGGCGGGGCGGGGCGGGGCGGGGCGGGGCGGGGCGGGGACTCCTGGAACAGACCCAAGGGCGCTGGGCGTGCGGTTGGGGCTCTAGAACAGGTGCAGGAGGCCGGGCAGGGAGCAGGGGCACCCGGGCCGGGCACGGGGGCCTGGGAAGGGCGCGGGCACAAGTGGAGGGGCGGAGGGGCGCCCGGAACAGGCGCTGGGGGCCCGGCGGCTAGCGATCACTGGCGGAGGGGGCGGGGGACGCGAGCCAGGAGGCGCTGGGACCGCGAAGGGGGCCGGGCGCAGACCGGGGAGCGGCGGCGGAGGGGCGGCGGCCGGCTCCCTCCGGTCCTGGGAGCGGAGGACACGCGGGGCCCGGGCTCGGCTAGGTTGGAAGAGTGGCAGCTCACTCCGCGCTGTGCTTTCCACTGTCCCCGGCCCTCGGACGCCTGTTGCCCGAGTGTCCCTAGCCCCTTCCTCCCGTCGCTGCCGCGCACTGTGGGGTTCAACCCCGTCGGGGACCCAGGTTCGTTCTGGCATGTGGGTGTAATGAGTGCCAGGAAATGTGGGTCCTCACCCGCGACCGTGAGCGGGGAACGTGCGGCCCCTGGTTGCAGGAGAAGCCGCAGGCGCAGAGCAGGCGGTGAATGAACTTGGGGTGCGATGGGGCCGTCGTTGAACTTCCCGTACAGCTGAGGCACCAGAGGCGGCCCCACAGCCTTCGCAGAAGGCCCGCTCCGTGCTCCAGGCGTCTTCCCGTCCCCTCTGAACCCTCCTGCCCCTGACAGCAGATGCTGGTGAGCCGGGGGTGGCGCCTCCGGTACATTTTAGGGGTTTTTGTTTTTTGTTTTTTTTCTGTGAATGCTTCCTATCATCTAACATGTACCTTGCACATACTAAGTGCTCACCAGAAACAAAAGTCACACAGCTGTTTAATGGCTCGTTAGTGCCCAGAGCTGGTTCCATCACACCAATTGCACAAGTTCCTTTGTAATACAGGTTTTAACAGATACACTATAATAACTTACACGTAAGCCTGTATCGCACTACAGTGGACTTTTCCTACTGGAAGTTGGGTATGAGTAAACCTCAGTTGACGATATTTTTGAATGCAATATGGAATCTCACTCTGAATATTTAAAATATCACGATCTAGGGGCGCCTGGGTGGCTCAGTCGTTAAGCGTCTGCCTTCGGCTCAGGTCATGCTCCCAGGGTCCTGGGATCGAGCCCCGCATCGGGCTCCCTGCTCGGGGGGAAGCCTGCTTCTCCCTCTCCCACTCCCTCTGCTTGTGTTCCCTCTCTCGCTGTATCTCTCTCTGTCAAAAAAAAAAAAAAGAATTAAAAAAAAAGAATAATAAAATAAAATATCACGATCTATCTTGCATGTAAAAATTTTTGTGTATTGTTTTCTGCATTAAAGGCATTCTGTTAATTTGTTCTTTTCCTTGAGGTGCTTCCCTATTTGCAGGTTTTGTACCAGCCAGGGCTGACACTCCTGAAGGTCGAATTTTCCTTTCTCTACTCTCCCGTGTGGAGCATGGCCTTCATGGACTCTGTGGTTGACTCACTGTACAATGTCCAGGTGGGGCCAAGATTAGAGCAGAACTTCCTCCTTAGGAAGAAAAGTTCCTGCCCCATGAGGCCCTTTCTTTCATTCCTTCTTGCTTTTCCTGGTTGCAGAAATATACAACCGGAAGCAAGCCCAGAATTTATTTTAATTATTTGTTCGTTCAACATTAGTCGTTTTTTTAAAATTCCAGTATAGTTAACATGCAGTATTATAAGACGTCTCAGGTAGACAGTGTAGTGACTCAATAATTCTATACATTTCTGTTCATCACAATAGGTGTACCCCGTTTTGTTTTAAGATTTTATTTATTGGGGTGCCTGGGTGGCTCAGATGGTTGGGCGTCTGCCTTCAGCTCAGGTCATGATCCTGGGGTCCTGGGATCAAGCCCCACATTGGGCTCCTGGCCCAGTGGGAAGCCTGCTTCTCCCTCTCCCACTGCTCATGCTTTCTCTCTCTGTGTCTCAAATGAATAAATAAAATCTTTAAAAAAAAATTTTTTTTTTTTAATTTATTTGACACAGAGAGAGAGAGAGCACAAGCAGGGGAAGCGGCAGGCAGAGGGAGAGGGAGAAGCAGGCTCCCGGAGGAGCAGGGAGCCTGCCATGGGGTTCCATCCCAGGACCCTGCAGTCATGAACCAAAGGCAGTCGCTTAACCAACTGAGCCACCCAGGTGCCCTAAGTGTACCCTTTTTTTTTTAAAAAGATTTTATTTATTTATTTGACAGAGAGACAGCGAGAAAGGGAACACACACAGGGGGAGTGGGAGAGGGAGAAGCAGGCTTCCCGCTGAACAGGGAGCCCCATGCGGGGCTCGATCCCAGGACCCTGGGATCATGACCTGAGCTGAAGGCAGACGCTTAACGACTGAGCCACCCAGGCGCCCCAAGTGTACCCTTTTTTAAAAAGTAATCTTTACCCCCAACAAGGGGCTCAAACTCATGACCCCAAGATCAAGAGTCACATACTCTACCGACTAAGCCAGCCAGGTGCCCCACATTAAGTATACTCTTAATCCCTTTCACCTATTTTACCCATCCCTCTACCCACCTCCCCCCTGGTGACCATTAGTTTATTCTCTATAGTTAAGAGTCTGGTTTTTTTTGGTTTGTCTCTGTTTTTCATTTGTTTTGTTTCTTTTTTTTTTTTTTTTTAAGATTTTATTTATTTATTTGACAGAGAGAGAGATAGTGAGAGCAGGAACACAAGCAGAGGGAATGGGAGAGGGAGAAGCAGGCTTCTTGCTGAGCTGGGAGCCCGATGCGGGACTCGATCCCAGGACCCTGGGATTACGACCTGAGCTGAAGGCAGACGCTCAACGACTGAGCCACCCAGGCGCCCCATTTGTTTTGTTTCTTAAATTCCACATGTGAGTGGGCGCCTGGGTGGCTCAGTTGGTTAAGCGACTGCCTTCGGCTCAGGTCATGATCCTGGAGTCCCTGGATCGAGTCCCGCATCGGGCTCCCTGCTCGGCGGGGAGTCTGCTTCTCCCTCTGACCTTCCCCCCTCTCATGCTCTCTCTCTCTCTCATTCTCTCTGTCTCAAATAAATAAATAAAATCTTAAAAAAAAAAAAATTCCACATGTGAGTGAAATCATGTGGTATTTGTCTTTCTCTGACTGACTTATTTCACTTAGCATAATACTCCTTAGATCCATCCATGTTGCAAATGGCAAGATTTCATTCTTTCTTATGGCTGAGTAATATTCCAATATATATATTTTAGATATATTTACCACATCTTCTTTATCCATTCATCTATCCATGGACACTTGGGATGCTTCCCTAGTTTGGTTATTGGAAATAATGCTGTTATAAACATAGGGGTGCATACATCTTTTCAAATTAGTGGGTTTTTTTTTAACTAGGCTCCCCGCCCAGCATAGAGCCCAACTCAGGGCTTGATCTCAAAACCCTGAGATCAAGACCTGAGCTGAGATCAAGAGTTGGACACTTAACCAACTGAGCCACCCAGGTGCCCCTCGAATTCGTGTTTGGTTTTTTTTTTAAGATTTTATTTATTTATTTGACAGAGAGAGACACAGCAAGAGAGGGAACACAAGCAGGGGGAGTGGGAGAGGGAGAAGCAGGCTTTCTACTGAACAGGGAGCCCGATGTGGGGCTCGATCCTGGGACTCCGGGATCATGACCTGAGCCGAAGGCAGAGAGACGCTTAATGACTGAGCCACCCAGGTGCCCCTCATGTTTTTTTATTCTTTGGGTAAATACCCAGTAGTGGAATTATTGGATCACAGGGTAGCTCTATTTTTAATTTTTTGAGGAACCTCCATACTGTCTTCCGGAGTGGCTGCACCAGTTTGCATTCCCACCAACAATGCAGGAGGGTTCCTTTTCCGCCACATCCTCGCCAACATCTGTTGTTTCTTGTGTTTTTGATTTTTGCCAGTAAAGCCCAGAATTTATTTTATTTTTTTAAAGAGGAACAGTAGCTTTTTTTTTTTTTTAAGATTTTATTTATTTGAAAGAGCACATGAGAGAGAGGCGAGACAGAGGAAGAGGGAGAAACAGACTCCCCACTGAGCAGGGAGCCCGATTCTGGACTCGATCCCAGCACCCTGGGATCGTGACCTGAGCCAAAAGCAGACGCTTCACCGACTGAGCCACCCAGGTGCCCCAGAATGTATTTTAAAGCTACAAGTGCGATGCCTGGCTGCCCTCAATACTTCCTCGAAGGGAGAAGGAAGTGAATATGGGAGCTGATGGAGCCAGGCAAAATCAGGGAGGGCAGAGCTGCTTCCATCACTGGTCACTGGTCACTGCTGAGGCATAGGGACCTAGGTCTTAACCCCAGCTTTGGATGAACCAGGCTGGCAGGAATCTTGGGGCTCTCCCACACTCTAGTGTGCAAGGGAGCTTCATAAATATGAACTCCGATTCCATAGATCTGGGGTAGGCCAGGAAGTGCATTTTATCACCCCAGGTGATTCTCACTGCAAATGGTCTCTGGACCACCTTTTGAAATAGTTCTTAAAGAGTGGTCCACGACCCTTGGAGGTCCCTGGTACCCTTTCAGGGAGAAGTGGGCACAAAACTATTTCACTAGCACTAGCAAGATCTGACTTGCCTTTTAAATCCTCATTCTTGGGGTGCCTAGGGGGCTCAGTTGGTTAAGCATCTGCCTTCGGCTCAGGTCATGATCCCAGGGTCCTGGGATCGAGCCCCGCATCGGGCTCCCTGCTCGGCGGGAAGCCTGCTTCTCCCTCTCCCACTCCCCCTGCTTGTGTTCCCTCTCTCGCTCTCTGTCAAATAAATAAAATCTTTTTTTTTAATTTTTTTATTCTTATGTTAATCCCCATACATTAC